AAACTTTGCCACTACTTTTTTACCCTAATATGCTGATTGTTTGTCATTTTCCTTCACATAGGTAATGTACAATATACATCTAAAATTCTTAAGTACATACGCCTAAATACTTGTGCGTGTAACACGCGAGTGGCGAATGCAAATAAATATAATACGGTTCAAACTTTCATGGTCATCACAATGGGATTTTCATATCGGAATTTATAGAACGCCATTTTTACATTTTGCCAAAAAAGTGATTTAACTCTGATTCGAGATTCAGTAGTTCAAATATTGTGCCGGCATTTTAATAAGTTGGGTTGCTGTCATTCTCTGACCCTGGTTAGCTAAGGGAGTTTAGGCAGTTAGTAGTACCAGTACCGGCAAGAAAATTTACTTAAAAAAGTATATACTTAGCCTGGGTTGCACCATCTTACTTCAACTTTAACAAACGTCAAAAGTCTATCAAACTGTCAAAAAACACCGTTTAAAGTTATAGTTAACGTCATAATTAAGGTTTAGCAACTCAGCCTTAGTCTTACATCTTATCTGTCAATAGCCACATACATTATCAGTAGTATCTTTTCATGTGATAGGTGGCAGACGCCCAAACCATGAACACGCAAGATCTCTTTAGGGACACATTCGCTAAATCTTGGTTCGACGATTCATCAGCCGTTTAGTGTAGCTTTCGTTGTTTAATTATATTGCTACACATATCGTATGCGAAAGCATGTAAATGGTGCATAGTTTCTTAAGCAGTGGTTATTAGTCTGTTATTTGTTTCACTGTACATATGTTTTCCGCAGAAAAAAATCAGTGGAGTCACAAGTGCGCTTCCAACCTTTTAGGTCCCATTCCCCCCGATTGGGCCTCCGGTCCCCTCACTCACTCGGGGAAACAGCGCAAGCGCTGCTTCACGCCGGTCTTCTGTGAGGCCGTGGTATCACTCCGGTCGAGCCGACCCATTCATGCCGAAGCGTGGCTCTCCCACAAAGAAGAGCTCTTTCAAATTAGACGTTTTGAGCCGGACAGTAATTGTCGTGCGTATGGAAGTCTGCACACTACTGTTGGTACTTGTCAATTTTATTCCAACGCAACTATCGTACAATTTTCCGTGTGCAGGATCAAACGGACGAAAACCGTCCGTCTCAAAATGTCTAATTTCAAAGAGCCTGAAGAAAGAAGATTAGTTCATAACAGATTATGGCGCATATACCTGAGATGGAATACTCAAACTTTAGTAATAAAAAGGTACTTTTATTGCTATAAATCTCGATTTAATCAATTCCATAGTAATGAACCACTTTGACTTATTTATACGACTTGGTTCTACTTTTCAGGTGGTTTAAATGTAAGTTTACTCCCTCAACATCCCCTCTGTTTATTTTCCATTGTATTACATTACGTGTGTTAGGATAAATACCTCTATTGTTTTATGGTTTAACTCTACTCAAGGTCCCGGGTTCGATTGCCATATAGGACAGCTTTTATAGTGTTGGGGGTTGGAATTGAAGTTAGACTGCATAAAATCGTTTTGGTGATCTACAAGTAAAACCAAATCGTACAAACTGGTCGCTTTCCTGGAGTAAACCTATCGGACAATAATAATAAACTAAGTACAAAAATAAATCAATGTCAAATCGTTCTATGAAACTTTCACTAACTTCCACTCACGATATTAACCATTCTTATAACTATTCTACTGTAGAAAAGGCTATGATAGGTATTTTCTTAACTATTTAACCTTTTCTACAATAATAGCCAAATTCCTCAATCCTTATGTTAGTTAATGAAAAAATAATTAATAAAAAAGCCTATTCTAACACCGAACTACTCACACGCGGTAGTGACGTTGTCGCCACTCCGGATCTAAGACGAAGCTCATAGCATACTTAATGTTTATTATATTTATACATAAGTGTTATTATCACCGTAATACATAGCGACATTGTGTCCTCATGACGTATTTTACATCATTTTATAAGTAACTTATAATTATATTTTATAACACAAATGTGAATTTTCACTGGTTTAAATCGATAGAGAAAATCACTCTCAATTCATTTTTATGGGCAATGGAAGAAGATGGACTAACGGCTTGATAGTATTGCCAATACACACACCTGAGTAACCACCAGATCAAAGTAATACTATTAGTCCAATCCAGTCCTTGATTCTATTCCCAAATTGGAATTGCCGATGCCAAATGTAATTTGTAAGATATTAGCCATTCATCCTTGATTGTATTCCCAAATTGGAGTAGGTATTTTACCTAAGTATGGACTAACGGCTTGATAGTACTGCCTATTGGCAACCTGAGTGACACACACGGCACACCTGAGTAACAGCTGTCCAGTCTCATCAATACGAAGTGAATTATTTTGGCCACCAGAACAAAATAATACTATTAGTTCAATCCAATCCTTGATTTTATTCCCAAATTGGAGTACTTTACCTCACTATAGACTAACGACTTGATGGTATTACCAACTCTCACCTTTAACATAGTTGTTCAGTCTCTTAAACTAGAGGGATGTACATTTTTGACTGCCAAATTGTATTCCCAAATTGGAGTAGGTATTTTACCTAAGTATTGACAAACGGCTTGATAGTACTGCCTATTGGCAACCTGAGTGACACACACCTGAGTAACACCTGTTCAATCTCATAAGCCGATATGAAGTGAATTATTTTGGCCACCAGATCAAAATAATACTTTTAGTTCCATCCAATCCTTGATTTTATCCCCAAATTGGAGTACTTTACTTCACTAAACTAACGACTTGATGATATTACCAACTCAAACCTGAGACATAGTTGTTCAGTCTCATAAGCCAATACGTAGTGAATTTTTTGGCTGCCAGAATAAAACAATCAATTATTAACTCAATTCAATTCTTGATTTTATTCCCAAATTGGAATTGCCGTTGCCTACCTGATACATAGTTGTTCAGTTTCATAAGCCAGTAGGTTGTATACTATTTGGCCGCCAGATCAAAAAAACAAATCATCAACTCGATTCAATCCTTAAGCCTTAGGTAAATATATTCTTATATGTTATTCATTAATGTTGCTTATTTCCGTGCATGGAAGTGACGATTCACATTTGCATTATAAAAAGAATATATTATTTTCTAGAATTAATATCTATTGTTGGGAACCCAACAACGCGCGGGAGGAGACGTGCGGGCGGCGTACAATGACTAACGTCACCTCGGGCCGACAGCGTCATCATCGGCTGCGCTCGGGTCACACACTCGCCTTTGGACACCACCGTCGACGCACGATTACCGCGTAGTCTTAGATAATTTTCTGTAATTAGGCTGGCGAGAATTACAGCACCTATTTTTTATACAGTCCACTATTTTATTTATTACTAATATTCGTTAGGACCCTAACACTATAGTCTACATAATGTGCTGCTTGCGATCCTCCCGGAGCATTGGCTCTGTCCCTAATTATAAATCTACCAGCTTTGAGCACTAACTACATTAGTAATTATTCTGTACTTACATACTTATTACTAGTATTTATTCTGTACTTACTTATACTTTTACTAATAAAATCTCCTTATGGTACTACGAGTATTATTAAACACTAAGGATACCTTATGAATAATGTTTTTACGCTAAAATTAAAAACGCGCTATCTTATACACTTTTGGTAGGTATGTATCCCATACATACTTATTTATATACATATCAAAAGTTTACACTAGCGGCCTAGACCAAACTATATTCATGATTGACATTTTTACAGCCAGTTCTTACCTAATTATACGAGTATATCGACACTTGAGTACGAAAATATGTAGAACTACTAAAATGACATTGCATTTTATAGCAAACCATGACCAGCAACGTGATACTGGTTATATTTACAAAAGGTACATAAATAGGATATAATATAGTACACGAAAATAAAACAGAATATTTAAAGAGACTTGAACTGTCATCATCCAAATGAAGAGAAATTATAAGGGGCGTTTGGCGTTTTAGCAAAATAAGAGAATGGCGAACATTAGGTGCCGAAATGCCATAAAAAATTGATGGATCCAATGATCCTGTAGCCACCGTAGCGGTCGCCATTTAGCTTACAAGCGCTTGAAAGTTCTTTTTTCCGCCAAACGCACCCATTGATTATATTAAACGAGTATATCTACTTATGTACGAAAATATGTACAACTACTAAAATGACATTGAATTTTATAGCAAACCATGACCAGCAACGTGATACTGGTTATATTTACAAAAAGTATAAATAGGATAGAATATAGTACATGAAAACAGAACAGATATTTATAGAGACTTCTACTGTCATCATCCAAATGAAGAGAAATTATAAGGGGCGTTTGGCGTTTTAGCAAAATAAGAGAATGGCGAACATTAGGTGCCGAAATGCCATAAAAAATTGATGGATCCAATGATCCTGTAGCCACCGTAGCGTAGCGGTCGCCATTTAGCTTACAAGCGCTTGAAAGTTCTTTTTTCCGCCAAACGCACCCATTGATTATGTTATACGAGTATATCTACTTATGTACGAAAATATGTACAACTACTAAAATGACATTGTATTTTATAGCAAACCATGACCAGCAACGTGGTACTGGTTATATTTACAAAAGGTATATAAATAGATTAGAATAGAGGTACACGAAAATAGAACAGATATTATAGATACTTCTACTGTCATCATCCAAATGGGAAAGTTATTACGGGCGTTTGGCGGGAAAAGCGCTAATAAGCAAAATAAGAAAAAAATAATGAAAATGAAAATGAAATTTATTCGTCATTATCATAGGTACAAAGTTGTTAGGGGTTAGTAGGTTCCACTATGATCTGCCGTATAGGCATACGAATTCTTAACAAATTTGAATAAAAATCTAAATCAATTGGTATTACAAAGTTGTCTATGTCAATCTTTCTAATTATCAAATACAAACAAAATAATTGCCAATGTCATAAATTATAAAATTACAAATTAATGTCAAAACTTAACCGAAAGAATCATTACTGAATTAATCAATAAACATTAATGAATCCAATGATCCTGAAGCCACCGTAGCGGTCGCCATTTAGCTTACAAGCGCTTCCAAACGCTTTTTTTCCGCCAAACGCACCCATTGATTAAGTTACAAATCTAAAAGATCCTGTCACAGGATCTGAACAGCTTACTGACCACCTCAATAAATTTTACAAAATCCCTTAATAACTATTTAAACTTACCTGCTACGAATAGACATAGACAACAACATTAATGGATATTGGTAAAAATTGGTGAAGTTATTCGCTAACGGTGATGGTGAGTTGCTTGCTCCGGTTGTTCTCGAAGCGGTCCATGGTCTTGATGTCCAGGATCATGGAGATGGACACCACCAGGCCAGCAATGAGCATGGAGCTCACGAAGAGACCAGACCTGAAAATTAAGGCACTTTTAAAACCAATCCAAGTACTTAAAGCAATTTAGACTTTTTTTACGAATTCAAGATTGACGCTAGAGGAAAATTTGGGAAAATTCAAATAAGTTTGTTGTGCATAGTGTTGTCTCTTTTCGAGCAGCCAAGGTTGATTATAGGACATTTGCAGGAAGAATAATGCCGATGATTGGGTGTTTCAAAAGACAGCAAATCCTAAACTAAGTTTCTTGAAATGAAATGAGACCGTAGGCTATGCCGTCGACCGCACAGGCTATAAACCCAATATTCATAAAAAAATATTGACAAAAAAATATTACATGGTCTCTTGCTGCCTGCCACACGCCCACTCACACAAAGCCCGTTTGATTTTTTGCAGCATTTTTCCGAAGAAGGTCGACTCCTCCGGGAACTGCTTCTTTACTGGTAGAGTTTTCATGTAACGGTGGTTGATGTCGTCACACCTGAAGTCAATACTGAATAGTAAACAGACGCGGAACTCTGCTAGAACAGTTTAAGGTCGAAAACCGAGCCTTTAATCCTTTTAAAATAAAACCGGGTCAAATGCCGAACCAATCACTTAAATTACCGATGGTAAAACTACGGGACAATCTAATCTGATATAGATTCTTGGTTATTATTGATAGACTCAAACTGAAAACAAAGTAATTTCGTCACCGGATTAAAGGACATTGTCAGAAACCGCCTAAAAAACCGCCAAAAAACATTAACCCATCATAATTATTTTCTATTTTTTTTAATACATTAAGCACCCTTTCGTTCTAATGGACACTTAAGCATTGAAAAATTAAATAAATAAGTCTTTTAACGTTTATTCTATAATACTATTACAACTTCCGGACGTTTTGGTGCGTGGCATGGTCTAAAACCTATCAAGTTCCATAATTTTTGCCGATAAAATCTGTACGAGGCATTACAGTACTTTATTGCTGGGAGTCCATGTATAGTGATGTTCCTGCGGCCATCATAGACAATAAAATATCGATTTTGAAAATAAAATAAATCGATTAAACTGCTTTGAAGACTAGATTTGCGTTAAAAGCTAAAAAGATATTGACACTATTACAAGAAGCTATCTAAAGTGTCCAACTGGTCGAAGGTCGTAAATAAAATAAAAATAATTAGGACCATAAACTGATATTCATGGTATCATAACTGTAAAAGTGTCAGAATCCGATGTTGAATCCAATGCCAGTTGAAGTGTGAGAAACATATGACATATTATAAAATCGCTGTGATTTAATATTCTTAATCATTAATTTTATGGCAAGTGTCCATCAGGAATCATTGTTCTTACACACAGAATCGTATTGTTTCGCTTTCGGGTAGTAATATGTCAAAATTGTTGGTTCTTAGGCGAACAATGTATGGAGAACGAACATTGTCCTTTAATGCTTTAATTATGATGTTATTGGTTCGACCTTTTAGATTCTGTCTCTTACGAGCTTTGTCTCATCCATCACACACGAACACTGAAATGTGATAATGATAATAAATGATTACAAGTTCTTTGTTACAAGCAAATCTTCCTGAACCAAGGCCGCGGATTTAAAAATAGACAACACTTTAAACTCGAATGTGCTCAAAAATATCTCCCGATCTTTTGTTTATCAAGGGCCAACATCTACCAAAACTACCTACCAACTTCTGGACTAAGACTCACCAAATAGGAACGGTCGTGAATCCGATGCAGTTAAAAGCATCCGAAAACTTTTCAGTGTTGTCCATAAACGGTTGCATCTGTAAACGAAATATTTTCATTGTCATTTGATAGATGATTATTTAATTACTAGCGGCCACCCGCGACTTCGTACGCGTGGATCCCGTTTTACCCCCTTCATATATCTTACGCGTTTTAGATTTTTTCATACAAACGTTTTTTCCCGCTAACTCCCGTTCCCGTGGGAATTTTGCAATATCCTGTTGTAACTAACCTTTAAATTTACTAAGGTACCTGCATGCCAAATTTCAAGCGTCTTACTTAAGCGGTTTAGATTTTTCATACAAAAGGATTTTCCCGCTAATTCCCGTTCCCGTGGGAATTTCGGGAATTCCTTTCTTAGTGCACCTCTACCTACGTTTAGCCCTTTAGGCTGTGCGTTGATACGTCAGTCAGTCAGTTTCTCCTTTTATACAGGGTGTTAAGTAAATGCCCATTATTCCCGAATCTAAATATACAGGGTGTTAGGTAAATACCATTTATATGCCCATGTTAACATGGGCTAGTGTCGGCTCATATACCCATTTACCGAACACCTGTATATTTAGATTCGGAGATCTAGTGGTCAGGAGTTCCCTCTTAAGGTTATGTTAGGTAGTTTGATTACATACATAACATACATATGTATGCAGTCTCAGAAGTGAGTATGCTTGTGATCACGTCGTGATCAAGAAGACGTGACCAGTGTGACATGATAAATAATTGTCACTGATCACTCGTAGAACAACATGATTTGTGGCGAATACCTCTACCAGTAGCATTAATCTTTATTATTCTTCTTTCTAGAATCATTTATTTATTTATTTATAGAATCATGGTGAAAAGGAACAAATTCCGTACGGTCAGAACGCAGATTACTACGAGTTTTCAAACACTGCGTTACAGAATATTATGCTTTAAAATGTGAGGTACGAAAGACCAATTTACCAAAACATCAGGGAAAAGCAACGTAGCCTCCTCCGAGGAGTACTCCAGTGGGAGCGAGCACTCGTACGAATGGCCCAACACGGCTGACGGCGCGTCGGGCGGCGAGGGAGCCTTGAGGTTGAGGCCAGTGGGCTCCACGCCGAACTTGACCTCCACGCCCACCGCCTGCCACCAGCCCGCGCTCTGCTTGAAGCTGAACTCGAGGGTGATCTGGAAAGGGATAGAGAATGCGTTAATATCGTCGACTCAATGAGGCGCAACTTTTTTTTTATGGTGGACAATACAGGTATTTGACCACAATCGCACCTGGCGAAGATACGATATGATTAAGCCGAAGGTGGAAGCGAGCATCATCCGGAATCCTCAACCACAAAGGAACTGGCTGTCTTGCCTCTAACTGACGGAACACAACTGTTATGGCGTCAATTAGTAAAGATTGTGGTAGCTAGCCAAGCGGACTTAATTATTTTATGTCCGCTTATTGCCCTAGCTTCTTCTTTTTCAGCCAGACTCTGATACTAACCTGCTGATGCTTCATGAATTACCATCAGGTGCTTTATGGATTCCATTAGACTGACATGTGGTGTGTTCAAATAATCCAATAATTTTTATTGTCATGAGACTCAAGTCAAGAAATCCATTTTTCGGACCAAACAGACGTCTGGTTCTAAACTGCTGAACCAAACGCACCTTATCCCTGGAGTCTCCGTCAGCGAAGCGGACCACGAGGATGGTGTACAGTCGGGTGGGCTTCACCGTGGGCTCTCCGACGGGCGTATCCAGGACTGTCACGGAGCCGTTGGCCCAGCGGATCTCGAACCCAGGTCCAGAAAGTTCAACTACCAGACCATCCAGGCGTCCGTTTCTAAACTACTGAACCAAACGCACCTTATCCCTGGAGTCTCCGTCAGCGAAGCGGACCACGAGGATTGACTTCACGATGGTCTCTCCAACGGGCGTGTCCAGGACTGTCACGGAGCTGTTGGCCCAGCGGCTCTCGAACCCAGGTCATGATAATCCATTTATAAGACCACCCAGGCATCCAGTTCTAAACTGATGAAGTTATCTCAACGCACCTTATCCCTGGAGTCTCCGTCAGCGAAGCGGACCACGAGGATGGTGTACAGTCGGGTGGGCTTCACGGTGGGCTCTCCGACGGGCGTGTCCAGGACTGTCACGGAGCCGTTGGCCCAGCAGATCTCGAACCCAGGTCCAGAAAGTTCAACAACCAGACCATCCAGGCGTCCGTTTCTAAACTGCTGAACCAAACACACCTTATCCCTGGAGTCTCCGTCAGCGAAGCGGACCACGAGGATGGTGTACAGTCGGATGGGCTTCACGGTGGGCTCTCCGACGGGCGTGTCCAGGACAGTCACGGAGCCGTTGGCCCATCGGATCTCGAACCCAGGTCCAGAAAGTTCAACTACCAGATCATCCAGGCGTCCGTTTCTAAACTGCTGAACCAAACGCACCTTATCCCTGGAGTCTCCGTCAGCGAAGCGGACCACGAGGATGGTGTACAGTCGGGTGGGCTTCACGGTGGGCTCTCCGACGGGCGTATCCAGGACTGTCACGGAGCCGTTGGCCCAGCGAATCTCGGGCCAGCCGGTCGAGTAAAGCAGAGCGCTGCGACCGGGAGGACCTGAAATTGAAGTGGTTGTCTGTTAGTATGGTAGCACTTGAAGGGTAATCTTAAACCATTGTAAAATTGTAATTTGTATCATAAAGATCCAGACTAAGTAGGTAAATAATAGTCGTTAGTTCGCTTCAGACAGCTTTATACTGCCTTCCGGTAAGTCATCCATGTTTTTTCAAGTTTCTACTACGAGTATACTAGAATTTAGAAATCATTTTACTGATTTCTAACGCAGTACCGTTTTTGGTCGAAAAATTAACCTTCATTTATTTTAAACATGTGTCCTCTAAACTGTCAGTCAAAGATATTATTTTAGCGTTGTTTCGTTGCGTTTAGGGGTCTTATGATTGCATAGTCTAAATTGAGCCGTCTCTTTTGTGTAGTATTTCTATCTTTTCTTGTTTGGTGTTTTTCTGAATTTGAATTTCTCGTGAACCTACTGTTTGGGTATAACAAGTCCACGTATGTACTGACCAGTGGCGTTATACAGCGCGAACCGCTGCAACACCTTGGGCGGCTTCTCGTCTTCGGCGGGCGGCTCGGCGCTCGCGTCGGCCTCACGGCGCGCGCGAGCCCACGACCCCGGCTCCGAGTACTCCAGGGAAGGACCCTGGGAGACCGAGTTGCCTGGAACGATAACAATGCGATAGTTAGTATAATAATATGTAAGTAACTTGGTCAAGGAAGTGACCAAAATATATTCACAAGTGCCTTATTGTGCTACAACAGAGAATATCTTCTGACAAACGTTGATTAAAGAAATTATAAAAAAAATATGCAGTGTAGATTGCAACCGCATACCGCAACCGCAGACATAGCAACAGCGAACGCAAACTTAGACATAGCCTAAGACCGCAAGCTCAGACTGTAACCGGTGAGGTGAATATAACCGCAGACCGCAGTTGAAAACCGAAGGCCGCAAGCAATGACCGCAACCACCGAAGACAGCAACCGGTGAGTGTAACTCCTTACCAAAAAGCTCTCATTTCAAAGCGATCCTTAAATCTTAAGTCACTGATTTGGTCACTGTTGGCAGTCAAGCTGCAAGAGATCCCAGATACCCAAGTGTACACAAGTGTACCCAAGTGTACCCAAGTGTACCCAAGTGTACCCAAGTGTACCCAAGTGTACCCAAGTGTACCCAAGTGTGTATTTACCTAAGATACCCAAGACCCTGCCGCTGCCGTAGATGTCCTGCAGCCGCGCAAAGGTCTCCGTCATCTGCGCGTCGCGCTCCGACCACGGGCCCTGCAGCGTCAGCATCTGGAACGGGACATAGAGGTGCCATTGAATATAGTGTTTCAGATGTCATATTTCATTGATCTATCTAATAGCTATCTAATTTGAAAGCGATGGATACACGTCTTCAAACACCCCAACCGCAAACCGTATCTAAATAATATATCAGACCTTCAAACTACAGACCGCTAGTAAAGACCTCAATAGACTACAAGCTGCAGATCACCACTGCCCAAAACCGCAGATGGCGGACAGCGGACTGAAAACAGCAGCCATTTGTTTCTATAAATTGTATAAATAAATAAATAATCTTTGGACAATTTCACACAGCGCCAGCTAGCCCCAAAGTAAGCAACTTAATGCTTGTGTTATGGGTGCTAGCTTAACGGATATACTACTTATATACTTTTTTTTTTAAATACATAAATATTATACATAGTCACACCCAGACCCGTCACAGAAATTAAAATTCATCATTTCAATTTCTGCCCGGCCGGGAATCGAACCCGGGACCTCTCGGCATAGTAGTCCGTTCTGAACCACTACACCAAACGGCCGACGAACGAACGACGTATAGAACGTGAGTTCTGAACAGTGACTGTACAAAACATTTGTCGAATAAGTATGTGGTTGTGGCTGACTTTTTTTTTATGTGATAGGAGGCAAACGAGCAGACTTTCTTAACACCTTTGCTGCGGCAGTAACTTTCTAATACTTTCCATTCCTTCGGTACAAGGTCAGTAAACCTGGTATTAAAACTTACATTGTGGCGGCACAAGGCTTAAAGACCTTGTAACATTTAAGATATATTAATTTTATTTTTGGCTTCATATTAATAGATTTATTGTGTTTTTTTTCTTTGAATATTAATAATAATGCATTTATTGACATACACCTGAAGGCGTTCGTGAATAACTTGTTTAGTATAAAAATTATAGCTATATTCAAAATACAAGGCTTATGCACCCTGTGCCGCACTGAAGTAGGGAAGTCTGGTGGGTATTCTAGGGATGTGAAATACAAATATCGATAGTTTAAATTAAGTTTTAATAAAAATTTAAAAAAGTAACAAACAAAGATGTTTTAATAATTTAGTCTAAATATTTTACAAATAAGACATACGTGCATAAATACTTAAATAAGCTATATTTAAAGAAAACATATTATTTAATAACATTTAGTTACAACTTCAAATGTTTGTCACGAAAAACATTATTTAAATTAGCAATAAATCGTGTAGCAAATTAAATTATAATCAATTTGCAGTTTTGATTTTGTTTGTTTCTCTTGACGCCATGTCGACATGTGCGTTTCTTACGAATGCGAGGCAACACTGGCTGCACGAAGCTAGCGTGGGGTGCGGTACCAGGTGCGCAGGGTACAAGGTGCTTCGACCTGGTTTCGCATTGTGAAGACATTTTATTACTTCCGTGCGGTACCAGGTCTAAAAACCTGGTATTAAGGTAGGTACATCATTGGATTCTATTTTAAGAATACATCATAGATATATATTCATCACTTTCCTACACCGGACCCAATTGAAGTTATGCCTTTCGCACGACAAGGAAGACTATAATTTTCTTAGCCGCACGGTGAGCGAGACGTACACAAGGTCTATAGACCTGGTTTCGCACTCAACGTGTTAACGGATCCTTGAATTGTTGTATCATTACTTTATGATGAATGCATATGATGCAAATAATATCTAAGTGCTAAATACCTGAGACCGGACTCTACATGTACCCATACGTATTGGCTACCGCCCGCCCTAACACCCCGCCCGCCCGGTGCAGGGTGCAGTCATAAATCAATCACTTGATGCATGCGCAGATGCGCCGCTTGACCGTTTCCGGTACACTTGGACACAAACTGGAGGTAGATACTTTTCGACTTTGCTGCCGCACAATTTATAAACGCAGTAAGTACCACTTACTGCATTTATGATTGTTTTGAATATTCTGAATCCTGACATCGCGATCTATAAGAATCAAAGACCCGTTTTTTTCTATCTATCTTAGAACGGAAGATACATATTATCATAAACGCAGTAAAGAGCAGATTGTAGGTTTCTTCACATACTATGTTAGCAGTAAGAGCACATAATAACTTAATATTACGTGAATACTCGCGCTTACTTAATTTGCTACACAGTAATAGTGCAGTATGTGCCAATTACATCATTCTTATTATGTTTCTACAATTGTTAAGTTCACCTTGCACATAGTATATGTGCAGTAATTCCACTTAAACACACACTGATATTATGTTTCCATAGGAAAAACAGATGACTTGTACTTAATATTAATGCAGTAATTACAATTATACTGCGTACATACTAAGGATTGTCAGAGTGCTGCCTAGGTGTTAACATGTTATGAACGCAGTGGCTGACTCTTACGTTATTGGAAGAAGTTGAAAACCTGTCCAAATGACAAATCTAGCCGAAGACCCAACAGCTAGATTGACCCGACACTATACCGAAGATATCCCAGACGTGTCTGTACGAGATTAGAATGGCTCTCAAACAGCTGAAAATCAACAAGGCACCGGGCGATGATGGAATCACGGCTGAGCTTCTGAAATCAGGCGGAACGCCGGTACTAAAGGCTCTTTAGAAGCTATTCGATTCCGTCATCCTTGAGGGAAAAACGCCTACGGCATGGCACAGAAGTGTGGTGATACTCTTCTTCAAAAAAGGCAACAAAACCTTGTTGAAGAATTTATTTTATACCCATCTCACTTCTGATTCTGTTTTTGAGAGTCATCATGAATGGTTTCACGCGACATCTAGCCTCCCGAACAAATCGGTTTCCGATAAGGCTTTAGTACGATAGACAGCAACTTTGTCTGGCATTTGTGGTCTATGAGAAAGACTTCTCTCTTCAAGCTACAGTCTCTCCAACGGTGCCAAATCTACTATATAAAAATAAGTCGGGTTTTCCTCCCTGACGCTATAACTCCAGAACGCACGAACCGATTTCCACGGTTTTGCATTCGTTGGAAAGGTCTCGGGCTCCGTGAAGTTTATAGCAAAGAAAATTCGGGAAAAGGGGGTAAAACGGGATCCACGCGTACGAAGTCGCGGGTGGCCGCTAGTTTACTATAGATATAATCGTTGAATGGCTTGTACGAATAGGCCACAATGTCAGTCCGTCTCCGGGATCAGGACTCCAGTTGTAGCGAGGGGTCAGACAGGGAGATGTCATATTTCTAAAACTGTTCACTACCACTTTGGAAGATGTTTTCAAGCTTCTGGACTGGAGCGGATTGGGCATAAATATCATCAGCGAGTACATCACCCATCTTTGATTCGCGGACGATATCGTAGTCATGGCTGAGAATGTGGAGGATCTAAGCTCAATCCTCGATTGCCTCAATAGAGCCTCTCAACAAATGGATCTTTAATGGACAAGACAAAAATCATGTCAAATGCCGTGCTGTACCCACTCCTCTGAAGGTTGGAGACACTATGAGTTGTCTGATAGCCGTTGGGGCAGGAAAGTTCTTGAGTGGCGACCATGAGCTGGAAGACGCAGCTTGGGCAAGCCTCACACTAGGTGGACCGATGATCTGGTGAAGGTCGCGTCAGGTGCCTGTATGCGAGCGGCACAGGACCGGTCTTTGTGGAAATCCTTGGGGGAGGCCGTTGTCCAGCAGTGGACGTCTTTCGGCTGAAACGAACGACCGAATCTTTATTTTATTAGATTGGTATATTTAAGATCTAAAAGTGGTTGCCATATCTTAATTTTTGATTGAATAACAAGCGATCTCAGCAATTATTTTATAATACTTGTTTCATTTACCCCTTGGTCATTTGGGAAAGTTCAACATGAAAGCGTTATTGGCTTATGATAAGCGCAGTATAATTGTATTATTACTGCGCATTTAAAGTTTTGATAAATTATTTTGATTCACACTCCCACTCATAAATGCAGTAAGTTGTAAAGATACGGCGCATATATTACGTTGTAAGAACTAAAATTTAAATCAATCATTTAACACATGTACCGTAAGTAACGAAAACTACTGATAAACGCAGTAAGGAACAATCATACTGCATTCATGGGTAGTAAGTATCGAACGAAATCTTAGTTAATCCATAACATAAACAGTTTTTTAATAATTTTAAATACAAAATATTAATTAAAATACAAAAACCTCATATCAAAATAAACTTTGAGTTTAGCTCTATAAGCCCATATATTTTTTTTTACAAATATTTGCGTAACTAGTTGTAGACACCCCAAAATAAAATTTCAACTTTGATCGCGTTTTTCTCGAAACTGTTCACGTGTTACTTACTGCGTTTATAAATTGTGCGGCAGTTTGGCAAATGCGTTTCATTTTATAAGTTCAGAAGTAGTCGTGAAATAAAGTAAATCTATAAGTAAATATGTTAACTGACACTTATTTTTTTATATTATTCAGTTAAAAAAATGTATTGAATTTTATTGTGTAAATTAAATTAGTTGAAGTCTGAGCAAAAATATTAAGTACGAACAGGTGCATAACTATGCAACCGGCGGGAGTTCATTATAAAAATAAAAGACTTCCCCTAAGTCTAAGACTGCCATAAGTGGCAGAAGAGAAAATGCATAAATTGCCGATTATGAGCAGATATTATTAAAAACGCCAGTTAAGTTGTATTAATTTTCACGGTTAAACCACGGTGGCCGGACTTTAAAATGTACCCATACGTATTGTATTTTTTTGTCATTTGTCTGAAAATAAATGATTTTTATTTTATTTATTTATTGGCTATCGTCTGCCATGACACCCCCGCCCGCCCGGTGCAGGGTGCAGCTATAAATCAATCACTTGATGCATGCGCAGATGCGCCGCTTGACCGGTTCCGATACAGTCGGCCGCATAAAGTATGGATGCCCTTCGACTTCGGCAAAATATGCTATTTATTTTAAAAATTCAGATACCGAAAAGAAAAGAAAGAATACCGAATTCTGAATTAATTTTTAATTTATAACTTATGGACAACATTGTCCAAGAAGATATTATGTAGTTTCAGTAGGATATTTAACACCAACAGGAACAGGTCAAATAGACACCTAACTAGAGGGTAGAGTCCATTATAAAAAAAAACCTTTTATGGAAAAAGCGAAAATGCATAAGGTTGTTATTTATATTGTGCATGTATAAACGCTAATTAAGTCTATAATGTATTAATTTTAAAATATGTAATCATAGTTACTGGCTACCCACCGCCCGCCATGACACCTCACCCCCCACCCCGGTGCAGGGTGCAGCCATAAATCAATTAATTGATGCATGCGCATATGCGCTGCTTCCGGTACAGTCGGCTACATGAAATATGGCTACCCTTCGGCTTTGGCAATGCGTTTAATTTGGTATGTATCAGAAAAAAAAACTAAAAGCATTTGAAATATTTCTGAAAATTTATTACTACTACTGACAAGATTGTTTGAAAAATTAAATACATATTTTGACTCAAATGTGGATTTTAGAACTGACCCATAATAGCAAAACTTTTAATAACTTTTTGCGCTATGTTACGAAGTCGTCAAAATGGCGTCGTTGGAATATTATATGCTTTTGCATTAATTAAAAACTTATTGCAAGTTTCTGTTTGAATTCATGAGTCATATTATGTAGAAACACCTGAGTAATGATAACGTTCGTTCGTTCGTTTCAGCCGAAAGACGTCCACTGCTGGACAAAGGTCTCCCCCAAGAATTTCCACAAAGACCGGTCCTGCGCCGCTCGCATTGCCTGCCACTCCTTCACCAGATCATCGGTCTAAGTACCTAGTGGGAAGCCTGCTCACGCTACGTCTTTCGGCTCGTGGTAGCCACTCAAGAACTTTCCTACCCCAGCGGCCATCAGCTCTACGAGCTATATGGCCCGCCCCCTGACACTAGGGATCTCCTCATTTCTGATTCGATCACGCAAGGAAACTCCGAGCATAGCACGCTCCATGATACAATGATAACGTATCATTACTAAAACTAACATGGTTAGTTAATTTATTACTTGTATGTTAGTATTAATCATAACTCCCCAACGCCGGATGCACTTTGCGTTCATAAATCAATATCACTTGTTGCATGCGCAGATGCGTCGAACTCGTCAACAAAATGGCGTCGTAACAATGTCTACCTTCGCCATGATTTCTGAGCAAATCGCTTTGGACTACGAACCAAATTCTAATAATAAGTAGCGCATTATTATTTTTCAAAGTTATGTACGTATCTATCAAATTTTACAAGTCATTGTCAATATCTTTTCAAGTTTCAGTCCATCTAATTTATTAATCTTTATGAGTAACTAGCTGACCCGGCAAACTTTGTTCCGCCTTAATGGCAATAAATAAGCAGACTTTTTTTTATTTCGAACGGGATAAAAAGTATCCTATGTCCTTCTCCTGGCTCTAAACTACCTCCCTGACAATTTTCAACTAAATCGGTTCAGCCGTTCTTGAGTTATAAGTGGAGTAACTAACACGACTTTCTTTTATATATATAGATATGTAACTGCTTCTTAAATTATGAAAACTAATTGAGCAATAATGTTGAAAAGTTACTTTGAGCCGGAAAATCAATACACCTGTTGCTTGCGCGGAGCCGTCGAAGTAGACAAAATGGCGTCACAACAAAGGATGGTTGGTTTGAGCATTTTAATGGAGCTGACTGTACTGAATAAGTACTTTCAAAGAAAATGGTTTTTCTTTTACAGACAAACTAGAAAATGTTCATTTATTTTACACAAAGAAAATAAAAATTACTGAGACTGAAACGTCGCAACATGCAATAAAAATTCGCTCAGTGAATATTTACATGCCATGTGACTTTTATTTGAATATCAAAGTTGAAATGGCGTCTCAATGAAAAATCAATAGAACTTGTTGAATGCGCAATAGAGAAGACTTTTCTAGAAAGTTATTTTTAGATTACTGATATCGATCTCAATTTGATAGATTTGAATGTTTGAAAATTAGAAGGGAAAGAAATCAACGAAAAGACAAAGGGTTAAGGAAGTTTTGATCTTACCTGAGTCTCATTGCTGATGTAGTCCGGATGGACGTCGAGGAAGTCTTGAGGCAGCACCAGGGTCGTCAGGCCCTCGAGCATCTTCCGCAGACGTGGGAAGTTCCCGCTGGCCAGCGGCACCGAATCCTGGTTGTTGAACACCACGATCGCCGCCTCCTCCCCGTATATACGCATCAAGTCATCTTGGTCCAAATTCTTCAAGGCCGGCCTCTTATACTTTTCTAGCGATTCGGGCCCGAAGAACAGGAACGGGCCTTCCAGATTTCCATACACAGTGAGCACATAAGACAGGACCAGGAGCACCGGTGGAAACATCTTCTCCCGCTGATGGCTGCCGACGGAAAGAAAGTCTAGCTGCCCTGAGCAGGGCGTATCGATTCAAAACTCGCGCACGCGCGGTGTCGCTCGTCTCACCCACCCCATCATTCACGGGGGCACTAGATTTATAGCATTTGCATCCTTAATGTAGGTAGTTAGGTCTCTTCCCGTGATGGGTCTAGGTGAGGTATTGGAGGGGGATGTATCGCGTATTGATTTTCATATCCCTGGATACAAGTGCGTAGCTGGGAGACGTTTCTAGAATGTTCCATAGGCGGGGCGCGGGCGAACAAAGGAAGTCCTTGGTTTGACTTAGGGAGTCCTGAATGACCTAATGACACCTTTCCAAGTTTCGCGAGGAGGTTAGGAAAAGGATTTACAAGTTACAGTTGCCTACTTTCAATTCGCAATACATAGGGTAAACCGTATAGCTATTGCCCACTTAAAGATTTCAAACACATTGAGATGAAAAATTAAAGAAAGTATTTTAATTATCGACCATTTATGACTTTTTTCTTATAACTCAATAAACTGTTAAACAGAATATTAACAGATTTTAGTTAAAACTTACGTAACTTAGTAAATATTGAAATAAATTTAAAATCCTCCAAAAAGTACAGTCATTGCCCATTACTTACACTAATTGCCCACATCAAAGCACAGTAATTGCCCAGTATCTTAAAACAAAATAATCAATTTTAAAATGACAAAATAGGCTTCAAATAAACAAAACAATGGTGGGCAATAACTAAAAATATACAGATTTAGGTGCAGTGATTACCCACCGTTAAAATGACCGTTAGAAATCAAATTTTATCAGTTATTTTCATTGATAATGAAGAAAACACTTATAATTTCATCATGACTATACACCATTAGTTGAATATTAAATAACTTGGAAAAAAAATTAACCTCTAAGCAAGTAATTCCTTAGTAAAATTGTTAAAGTCTTTACCTGTTTGAGTAACATTTTCAGCCGTCTTGACAAAATCCGCCATAACTGTTTTTTTTAGTGTTTCCTATTGTAAATTTTAAATCTACTGTACATTGATCACGGAGCCATCTACTTAGTAAATTCAAATCTAACTAGAGTGATTCAAAGTCAGCACCTGACAATATTATTCTTAAAGCGGGCAATCACTACCAGTGGGCAATAACTCTCTGGTTTACCCTATTTTGGATTTCCTTTGTTCTCAAACAGTCTCTAATTTATTTTACTTTCATTTAATTAATTAATTATTATGTTATCTCAAATATAGGTACAAGTAGGTAATAATAGGCATGTTTATTCATAAGTCATTATAAATGCTGCATCTATTTCAAAGTGATACAGTATCTTAGTCTCATCTCAATTTAATTACTTGGCCCCAAACTAAATCATCCGTGCTTATCACACTAAAATTTGGAACATTTCTTTTATTTACAACAATCTACTTAAAATCGCAAACGGTTTCAATCATAAGAAGTATTCTACGCATACATTGCTGTGGCAATACGCTAAAGAACCAGCAATCGCTGTGACAACTCGCTGAAGAATCAGCGATGTATGGTCAAAGATTTTCATATTGAATGCGATCGCAATACATGACGATTGAAACTTATTAGGGTCCTTAATAAAACAAATGTTTGTAACAAATAATACTTTATTTACAATAAATTAAATATTATCTTACAACGGTTTATTACACAGGCACAAAATCCATACAATCTTTATTTACATACAATGATTCCAAAACGTTTACCCATCAAAGATTGAGATCGGTTGGTAGTTAAAATGCACTTGGAATGTTTGTTTCCATTAGATTATCTAGTATTTTGATTTTACAATATTTTCTAAAATTGGTATAAATACTCCTAGTCTTTCATTTGTGTGGTTTTAATACATAATTGCGTCTAAAAATCAACTCATCCTCGCACTTTTGTTAAAATTTACAATAGCTTATGGAAGGAAATCAATTCCTTTTCTTACATTGAATTACGACGTTTGAGAGTACGAGTGGTACGAGGTTGGTTGATTGTTTTAGCATATTACTCTAGAAGTGCTCTGAAGAAAAATATTAGTAGGCATAGAGATGTAGCCAGTCCAGCTCTGGTCGCAGAAGATGGAGTCCAGAAGTAATTGCCACCTGGAACAGGAAAATTATATTATCAGTTAGGAAATAATTATAAGGTATCTAGCAGGGCTAGGAGGGAGTCCCTTCAAGTCGAGTGTTTACCTAAAACCGGTGTTAATTTCTCCTTTCCTTCCCTTTGGTGTCTTGTGGTCACCTAAGTATATTTTACCAGAATTTGGACCACATTTTGTACTTGCAGACCAATAAGATCGAACAAAACAATGCAGCCAAACTTTTTGTGAACCTAGTAGTTTAATAAGCCAGTAAAACTATCTTTGATGGCAAGGAAAATAATGTTGATAATTGATATCACTGAGACTTAACAATTCAGTCTCTATTTCAATTTTAGATCTTCATCTACTTTAAAACATAATTTAGAAATTTAGAAGTTTTATAGATGAGTACTGTTTTTTTGACGCAAGCCGCTACCAACCGGGTAACATGGAAAGCATTGGGGGAGGCCTATGTTCAGCAGGGGACGTCCTATGGCTGACATGATGATGATGATGATGACTGTTTTTTTAATCCGTTTCCTGAAAAGCGCTTAAATTATTTTAAGATTGCTTATGATCAGTTGATTCCTTACGTTTCTTCTCGTTGGGATCGGTGACGCCGCACTGGCGGTAGGAGATGGTCTTCTTGCGCTTGGTGTTCACGTAGCCCGGGATGAAGATGCTGGGCGAGTCCAGGCGACCTGATGCCAGTAACCTGGGAAGGCATATGAATGGTTGACTTTTTATCGAGACTAAAGAAATAAAGTGAGGTAAAACTGGTTTCAATTAAATTAATGGCAACACCTCAGTGCGTTTAAATCTACAATATCAGAATATATTCAAGTGGATTAAACGAAATATTACCTTTATAAAATTTTTGACCGAGGTTTGGGATGGACATCAAAACAATTAAAAGAATACAGGCTACGAGACAAACGTATAGCAATTTAAGTTGCTGAGAAGAAGGCTGACAAAATAAGTCACCTCATAGTTGCCAGTGATATTTAGTTATGTTAAACTGTAGGAACAGCAACCGCCCTATGAACAGGTGAACGTCGGAAGAAATCGAGACAAATTGTGAAATCTATGAAGGACTTTCATCAAAAAGACGAATTTTATAACCCTGATAAATGTATTCATGTGTTTTGCTGTTCAATAAATAAATAAAGTTAATTGAAAAACAATCAAATGAAATCAAATCGTGAGGGATGGTTTCATAGTGACAACTTTGTAGATGGCACGAGGCATCAAATGGGACACTACCTGGTGAAGTCGAGCTCCAGCTCGTTGGCCCGGGGCCCGGTGAAGTGCAGCAGCACCTGGTACAAAAAGAAATAGAATGGTAACAACTTCATTAACACTGAGGTTCATTAATTTCATTAAAACTTATTGAGGCTGACAATAGTGTCTGAGCATCTTGCGCTGCTTCTTCTCAGCACTGGCCCATTTATTGTCGTGAAGCAGTGGTAGGGTTAATACTGGGACGTGTAAAAGTGCTTTTTTAAAGCCTATTTACAGAAATAAATGAGTTTTATGACAGTTTTACTCACATAATAAGTGCAGACAAAAATGCTTTATGGGCCTTAAGTAATAGGGTCGATTTTTAAATAATAATACAGTACAATACCTGTATGCATGATCCGGCGTGCAGCAGGCGCGTGCGACGCGAATCCACACCCAGCATCCACTCCGGGATGCCCATGACTTTACGAACCTCCTCCAGGAACCCGCCCCTGGGGACCAAGGAACGTGTGAGTTTTGGAACTTCGTGGTAAAACAACATGTATTTGACCATTGACATTTTTTTCTCTTGTTCAGTGTTTAATTTATAAACTGTGGGTCTAGACAAAGTGCAAATTTTAATCGCAAACCAGTCGAAAAGTGGTCGAAAAGCCCCTTTTTTGTATGGAGTTTTCATTCATTCGTCATTTCTATTTAAGTATTAATGGTACACCTATATCAAATATTCATAAATTATGCTACCTAATTAATTACGCTAATTTTCTTTTAAAATCATCTCTATTCAACTGGACATAGATACCTAAGTAACTTTTTAAAATGAAGGCTTTATTATGTGAAATATCTATTTTATCAAGTAGATATTCGAAGTGTCAACTCACAGCACAAATCTGGGCGGCTTCATGATATTAAACGCCTTAATGATGTCCTTGTCAGGCTCTATATTAGCGCACGCAAACCGCTCGCCGCTCCGCTCCGGCCCAAAGATCACCAGCGAGCGACCCATCGCTGACACCGTGCCTTCCAAGGGAAAGTTGCTGTCCACGAACACCTCGCGAGGACCGCCGATCGCTGGAAGACAAGACGTAGAACATTTGATGAGACTGCAAAAGCGTAAAGAGCAGTTGCAAACTGCCACGTATTTATAAAAATGGCAAAATTTGTTATCACGCCACTTCTTTTCGTGTCGACAACAAACCTACACAGTGTCAGCCCAAAACTCCGCCACAAGAGTGGCGTTGTCAGCAGCACTCATCAAATCCTCCTGAATGCAGTTGCTTGGGCACTCAGGGCACGCCACTGACTTCTGAGTCTATTGGTTCCTGATGGAACTTTCCTAGTACGTGTTTTTCCCATTGACAGCATTAGTAGGTAGGTAGGTACTGCTTATTAATTATGAGGCTGCGTATGACCTCGCCTTGTGGTAAAAAATGGGAAGATCTAAGATAGAGGATGCTTATTCTATAAAGAAACTTTCTTTTGAAACTCCAAACAGTGAAAACAGACTTCTCTTCACTAATTACGTTAATTAAATTTTATTTGGAAAACTTACTTATGGTCCCCAATCTCGCCGTTAGATCTCCAACATCACACCTCAATGGATTGTCGGCACCACATTCTTGATTGTACAAGTCATGCTGAAAATAATGACAAGTCATTTTATTTTTATTATTATGGAGCAGACAGAAAACCTTTACAAAAACCAACCGAAGGAGGGCATTGACGGGCCCCTCGAAGCCGGACAGCCTTGCTTGAAACGGCTAGCCTGAGACGGAGCTGCAGACGAATGTCCAAGTTAAGACAATAATTCCCGACTTCATTTCATTGGGTTCCACTAGCTAGACACTATCGGGCTTAAGTGGGTAGGCCTCGCTCTACTAGCGGAGAGAGACCCACATAACCAACAAAGGACTAGTGAGTCCTTCCCATCATCAAACAAAAAACGGGACTATACCCACCTCTCGTTCCCACCACTGTAACTCCTGTGTAGCCAGGATCTACAGCTTGACCGCCATAAAAGCCCAACCAATGAAGGTCAAATTTGTCCCCGGGGAAAGTTAAACTGTCATTGGACTCATCGTAAAAAGAGGGTTTAGGGGACTAGGGGTATACGGTATGTCTCTTACATTGAGAGGGTCAGCCAGCTGCGTGAAGTATGGGTTCCAGCGGTAGCCGCCGGCCACGCAGCGCGTGTTGGTGACCTGCACGGCCGCGTCCACGCCCACCGGGTTCACGAAGATGTTCCACGGGTGATTGTGAGTCTGGAACACGTTGAAATAAAATTCTTAGGCCAAGATGTCATGACGTAAGACTGATAAGACGAATGAGATTGCTGAAACTCCGGACGGACTGTTCCAATCCCAAACCGGAAAAAACGGTTGACGAACTTCCGAAAAACTTAACATTTTTCTTGTGGCAATAGTCAGTTGAAGAAAGTTGTCAATATTCAAGAATCCTTTTGCAATCCAAGATTCCTGAGCTTGACTTCTATTATGGATGAGCTGCGTCATCGCACGTAGCCGTAAGCAAAGCGGCCGAGGTGGTAGAAGGAAGCGTACAAAGAGGAAGATTGTCATGTGGTCATCATCATCATCTCAGCCATAGGACGTCCACTGCTGAACATAGGCCTCCCCTAATAGTTTCCATATTACCCGGTTGGTAGCGGCCTGCGTCCAGCGCTTTCGTGCTACCTTTATGATGTCGTGGGTCCACCTTGTGTCAACTTACAAGATTCCTGTCCCGCACTCCAGGGTGCCTCAGCTTGACCTCTATCACTCTATCGCTGGTGCTGCCATCGTTGTGAATAAGATGCGTCATCCTGACGTAGCCGTAAGCAAAGCCACCGGAATGGTGGAAGGAAGCCTACAAAGAGGAAGATTATCTAGAAGTTAACTTACAAGATTCCTATCCCGCACTCCAGGATGCCTCAGCTTGACCTCGATGACTGTATCGCTGGTGCTGCCATCATTGTGTATGAGTTGCGTCATCCTGACATAGCCGTAGGCGAGGCCGCCGGCGTGGCAGAAGGACGNGGTGTGTATGAGCTGCGTCATCCTGACATAGCCGTAGGCGAAGCCGCCGGCGTGGCAGGACGTGTAAAAAGAGAAATATTATCTAGTGCTCAACTTACAAGATTCCTGTCCCGCACTCCAGGGTGCCTCAGCTTGACCTCTATCACTGTGTCACTGGTGCTGCCATCATTGTGGATTAGCTGCGTCATCCTGACGTAGCCGTAAGCAAAGTTACCGAGGTGGCAGAAGGACGTGTAGAAAGAGGAATATTATCTAGTGCTCAACTTACAAGATTCCTATCCCGCACTCCAGGATGCCTCAGCTTGACCTCGATGACTGTATCGCTGGTGCTACCATCATTGTGTATGAGTTGCGTCATCCTGACATAGCCGTAGGCGAAGCCACCGGGATGGTGGAAGGACGCGATGCCCCGGATCTCGCGCGCCTCCGATGGGGAATATCCACGCTCTATGCTGGAACACGCCCAGCGACGGTCTTTGCTCTGGAAAGGAACGTTGTGGTAATGAGATTGGATGGACAAAAGAACTTGATAGCTCTGCAATAGTGGGATGTAGCAGTCTTGGGTCCGTATTACAGAACAAGCTCAAAACTAGATTAATCTCAAGCATACATTGATAGCTCAACTGCTGATTCGAAATTCGAGAAACGTTAGTTTTTCCTATCATCCGATATTTCTTTTCTGGGTAGTAATCGCGAGCGTTAGAGGATTCGATCCATTGAATATTTATATTGAAAATGTTTCCAAATAAAAAATGCACCAAATTAGTTTGAATTCTTCATAATGTGCCGGTATTATGTATTACTTTGTTGGCAAGGTGCCTATTTACCTTTTTATGTAACACGACAGATCGTCCTATGATGCTGTAGGGCCCAAACAATGACATCTGCGTCTCGTTGTAGTACGTGGTGAGGCTTCTCATGTCGTCTATGAGACCGTACTTGTCTCCAAGATCTCCCAGCTCGTACTGATCAGCGGTACCTGAAAAGACCGGGTTAAAAATTAAAATTTTCATTTATAATCTTGTTGAGACGTTTGTCTGAAATAAAAGAGAGAAACACGGGTCTCAACGCGAATTTTTTTTATATGAGGTTTTTTTTTACTTGAAACTTTTTGGTCAGATTTTTGTCTTCTTTTGACACATTTCCACAATTTATTTATACATAGAATCAATACATAATTATGTAATCACTGTTCAGTGTGCTTACCATGAGTTTACGTTACGTGTGCTCGCTAGCGACTGCGTAAAAAAATTACATTAATTGTATGACATATTGTGCAGCGCCTCTAGCGGCTACTTTCAAGAAACAAAATCTCCATAGAGATTTTTGACGTTTTCGCTAGCGAGCACACTTATCGTAAACTCATGGTAGGTACACTGTTACCTTTTGTCGGCGGAGGACTAAAGTTTTTGTCCACATTGAATGGGTTATAAGTGTCATACAAGGTCGTCTTTTCACATGGGAACTCTAGTTCTTTCTCCACAGGGGCCTGAAACATGAAAGTTGCGAGAAATTAAATTCCTTGGGTTTTATGGATGAGAAATCTAAATACATGGTGTCTTGTGACAATTTTTGTATATGATGACACACGACGTAAACTTCACGACCCGTTAGTTCAGCTTCGCTTTATGGCAAGGCACCAGCCACCAATTTATTTATTTACTAGCGGCCCGCCCTGGCTTCGCACGGTTGCAATGGAATTTTTTGGCTTTCTCCTCTATAATAATTTGCATGTTTTAGTATGAGTACACCTTCCTCTTATTAATCCTATTTATTAAAAAAAAGCATCAAAATCCGTTGCGTAGTTTTAAAGATCTAAGCTTACATAGGAACAGACAGACAGGAAAGTGACTTTGTATTATAATATGAAGTGATTTAGGGATAATACCACAGAATAATAATAAGTACTTGATTATACACAGCACATTAAAGCCCATTTCGTTTGTTATTCCGATCATATTCACTCACCACATGAACCTTATAGTTCTTGATCCCGTCCAGGCCCTCCAGCGTGACCTCGACATTAGTGACGTCATACTCGGACTGCTGGATCAGCTCCAGCTTGCCCTTCAGGTTGACCTGCTCGCCGTTGCCGAACCAGTCGCGGACTACGGCCTTGCGGCGGTGGAGGCCGTTGATTCTGAAAAGAGTTAAAAGCTCGGGAATGTATTTTATGCATTTCGGACAATCTTACAGAATATAACAGTTCTGGATATAAAAAGCGGGTTAATTACTTTTTTTTATCTACAACGAGGATGCTCTTGGCCTGTATCTCACCTGATGGTAAGTGACGATCAGGCCAAAGGTGGAAGCGAGAAGGAATCCTCAACTACGGAGGAACTGGCTATCTTACCTCTAACTGACGGAACACAACAATGCTGTTAACATTGTTGTTATGGCGACAGACTTAGGTAAGATGGTGGTAGCTAGCCAGGCGGACTTAGAACAAGCCCTACCACCAACCAAACCGAACAGAAAAATCTGCCCCCACTGGGAATCCACCTTTTTATTGTGCAGAAACTTTTTATGGTCTTCAAATCTCTTTCAAATGAGACTGGTAGTTCAGCAGAGATATAGGTGTAATGTGTGCGTACACACTACATAGGTTTTACACCACACTATGTAAAAGTAAGCACATTTATATCAATTTTCACTTGAAAACAAACTATTGCATGCAGATTACAGTCACACATCACAGCAGGTCTACGGTTTACTTAAGGGTTTACCTACTAGTTTTTTTTTAAACTTTTTACATGTCCTATTGTAGTGTAACTATAGGAGAAGACAATCGTTTAAAATAATGTAGTAAAGAGATAATACCACTCACATAGAGCAAGCCATCCTCTCGCCCCTAGCCACGGGGCCGTGGTCGTCGTAGATGACGAGCGACTTCCTCATGATGGAGTACTTGCCGGCCAGCGCCGCCGCCGTGTCCGTGAACAGACGCCGCGTCAGCCGCGCGCTCTCTGCCTTCTTGCCGGCTACTGAGAGCATGCCGTGTCTGGGGAAGATAAAGAGAAAGTTTACGGAAGATCCTGGATTCTCATGCATAAGATTGAGGAGAAAGCTCTTTTATATTTAACAGTTTTGCTGGAATTCTCTTGAACTGATTTTATTGTTTCAGTCGCCTTCAAACAGTGAGAGAAATTCATGGTGAGTTTAATTTGAGCAAGTCGCTATGGAAATCTTTGGAACAGGCAATATTTTCAGCTAAGAAGAAGGAGTTCAAAAATCAAAAAATCAAAAATATTTATTCAATTTAGACCACAAGTGGCACTTATGAGTTCGAACTTGGTGGTAAAGTCTCCAATCCTGCACAGCCAGCGCATCACAGTCCCAGCGCGAAAGGAATCCTCATCTATGGAGGAGGCCTTTCAGGCCCGTCCAGTTCATCCAGTAGTAGACTAACAACGGATGTCATTCGGCTGAGGACTGATGGTAAACGTGATAAAAGTGGTGGTACCTGGTAGTAAAGTCACCGATCTTGCACAGCCCCTCCAGGCCTGGCCGGCAGTAGTCCTCAGGATGGCGTGCGTCCACGGCTACACCATGGGGCTCGTAAACACCACCAGCGCTGAGGCAGCGGCCCGTCCAATTGTAGTAATCAGCTCCCGGAGGCCGCTCGTGCACCGCCCAGCGGTGCTCATGCGTGTTGTTTACGTTCGCGCCGTCGGCGTGGATCTGATAGTATATAAGTAAATGGTGCAACAACAGTAGAGCAAACTACCACAGTTGAATTTCCCCAATGGATTATGTTTGAGATTTTGGAATAAGAGGCGAAATCAATTAAGAGAATTCATCATTATGCAGATCAGAAAATTTACAAGTTGATTACTTCTGTAAAATCGAGAACAAACTATGTAATACACATCCAATATCTTTGAAGACTACCTAGTAGTTCTTGATGCTCTCTTCAACCTTTGAAATTTAGTTGTGTTGTAAGTCGTAATTATGTGTACCAGCTACCAGTGCACCTAGTAAAAATCTTCAATAGTTCTAGATTTTAATGCAATTTGATTGGTGTTACGGTTGTACTGTAAATATCTTCAAAAAATCGTGGGTTTAGCAACATCTCGTCTGCACGTACCATGCTCTCGATGATGATAGTGGTGTCCTCCCAGGGCCGGCCGAGCGGCTGGCGAAACACGACGCGGCCCACGATGGGGTAGCGGAACACCACCTGCGCCGAGCTCATCGGCGTCTGGAACTCCGTGCCGTACTCGTAGGGCAGGATGGTGCCGCAGATCTCGCGCTTGGGAGGACGCCTGGGGAAGGTGGACATAGTCATGTAGGTACCTAATTTTATATAACTCAAAGGTGACTGACTGACTGACTGACTGACATAGTGATCTATCAACGCACAGTTCAAACCACTGGACGGATCCAGCTGAAATTTGGCATGCAGGTAGATGTTATGACGTAGGCATCCGCTAAGAAAGGATTTTACGAAACTCCACCCCTAAGGGGGTAAAACGGGATCCACGCGTACGAAGTCGCGGGCGGCCGCTAGTTACGTCGTGTCATATTAGAATATTGTTGATAATGCCCAAACTGTCACGACTATCGCTTGATTGGCACTCTTGTAACACGATGAATGAAGAGTCATGAGAGGTTTATACTTGTACATAATGACACAGGTTAATAAGAATAGATTGGTCAATAAATGAGATATCTTCCACTAGACACAACGCTTGATGCGACTTCATCAGCAGTACACCTGTCCAGCACCAGCGAGCGGTGCATCACGCTGTGGACGCCCTGCAGCGGCAGGAAGGCGTCCCAGTAGGCGGCTGAGCTCGCTGCCAGCCCAGCAGGTGCTGCCACACTCTTGCAGCCTCAGAGCTCACCTGTCCAGCACCAGCGAGCGGTGCATCACGCTGTGCACGCCCTGCAGCGGCAGGAAGGCGTCCCAGTAGGCGGCTGAGCTCGCTGCCAGCCCAGCAGGTGCTGCCACACTCTTGCAGCCTCAGAGCTCACCTGTCCAGCACCAGCGAGCGGTGCATCACGCTGTGGACGCCCTACAGCGGCAGGAAGGCGTCCCAGTAGGCGCCGCCGAGCTCGCTACCTGCCCAGCAGGTGCTGTCACACTCTTGCAGTCTCAAAGCTCACCTGTCCAGCACCAGCGAGCGTTTGCATCACGCTGTGGGCGCCCTGCAGCGGCAGGAAGCGTCCCAGTAGGCGCCGCGAGCTCGCTGGCCAGCCCAGCAGGTGCTGTCACACTCCTGCAGTCTAGAGCTCACCTGTCCAGCACCAGCGAGCGGTGCATCACGCTGTGGACGCCCTGCAGCGGCAGGAAGGCGTCCCAGTAGGCGGCTGAGCTCGCTGCCAGCCCAACAGGTGCTGCCACACTCTTGCAGTCTAGAGCTCACCTGTCCAGCACCAGCGAGCGGTGCATCACGCTGTGGACGCCCTGCAGCGGCAGGAAGGCGTCCCAGTAGGCGCCGCTGAGCTCGCTGGCCAGCCCGGGCAGCAGGTACTTGTGGTTCAGGTACTCCGTGCGGTCCTTGTACTTGCCCAGCAGGTCTCCTACGGGATACTGGTCTTGGGTGCCCATGCCTAAAAATAAGAGGTGATATGAATATTATTCCTGATTAGTTTCTAATCTCTGTCTATGGATTCACCCACGTGGGGATTTTTTATTTATTTATTTAGGAAAACCAGGGTTGTACAGTTTATAATAATGACAAGATAGGCAATAAGTAAACCACTTAAAGGTTCCCACAGGTAAAAAACAATTTAAACAATTAGTGAGCCTTCTCTTTCTTTACCAAAATTTTATTTTAAATGTCGTCTACGTTAGTAAGCAATAAATAATTTGAATTTAAATTTAAAACGTAATAACAGTTCGATGACGTCAAATTGCAGATCTTTGAAGCAAGAACTGCATAATGTATTATAGTGGCATCATGTATATGTCATAGTCAAAGGTCGATATGCAGTCTCTTCGCGGAATGACTGGTCTATCCTAGGTTTGACCAATGCCTTCGGGCCAACCCCGAAGTGAATTCTTATTTCGGCCTTTGACTAAGTCAAACCTAGAAGTGCCTAAACTGTTCAGTCAAACGTCGAAACTAAAATAATCAGTTTCGGGCTTTGCCTAGTCAATCCTAGAAACGACTGGCAGACGTGGTCAAAAGTAGACGCAGCGTTACAGAGGCTGGCAGCAATTGTAGAAAACCGACCATGTTAAAATTGGATTCACGTACGAAGGGTTCCGTACGACTCTGTTATTGTTATATGGTGAATGGGGATGATTTTTAAAGTGACTATAAAACTAAATATTTTGGGAAAGGCATGAGATATACAGCCTGGTGACAGACAAACAGCGAAGTCATAGTAATAGGGTTCCGTTTTTACCCTTAATCCTTTAAGGTACAGAACCCTAAAAGAAATTATTTCAAGATCGGTATAGAAACACTGACAAACTACCGCAGTAAACAAGTTTAGTTATTCGTACTCGTACCTTCACCTAAAGAGAGAACCGATCGGTAAAGTCTATGTAATAAGTTCAATATCAAAATGAAGTGTAGTTTAGTTTAGTCTTAATTGAGGTTTGACTAGTCAAACCCCGATTTCATTAAATTCAGTTTCGACGTTTGACTGACCAAATTAGTCTCTCCTAGGTTTGACTAACATTTTTTAGTCAAAGGCCGAAATGTTTGGGCTTTGACTAAGACTTCTAGTCAGACCTGAGGATTGACTAGTCAAACCTAGGAGCGCCTGAGCTTCGAGGTTTGACTATAACATATACACAAAATCGCTATATGGGAGACAAAACTGAAAAGGTAAAAAAATCGAAGCATTTTCTGGTTTGATCATTTGTTTTTAATAGCTCTTTACTTTCTGCTTCTTCATTAGCAACTTTTATACGATGCTTAATGGAAATATTATGAAATTAGGAGACCGCGTCTATCGTTTTCTATAAATATCTAAAGTAGTCAATAAAAAAATGTGCGTCACATCTGAAAAAAAATCTATTTTGAATCTTCTTCGTCATAAGCTGAAATCTGATGTTTCAATAGCAATCATATTTCAAAACATCCCATCAATATTGACCTTCTAACCTCAAAATCCGACAATAGCGAGCCATAACCGACAGATAATCGTCAACAAGCGGATTCCTGAAAGCTGCGCCCGCGCCGTAGCCAAACACCGCGTACCGAGAATAGACGCGCAGATAACCGTTTTAGTTTGTCGTCGTTGATTGAAGCAGATCTGGTTTCACAGACGCGAATAACGCATATACTAATACAAATTGATTTTTCTTATATCTTCTCTATGGATTGTGTATGCACATCGTTTAAACGACTCTATTAGGTCGGAATAGACAGTTAAATGTAGCCTGGAATTAGATATCCTATCCTACTAATATTATGAATTATTTATTTAAAATTTTCTAAGTGGTTTGCCTGTTTGTTACTCTTTCACGCTAAAACTACTGAATGGATTTTGATAAAACTTTACAGTAGGTATTAATAAAGAACTGCAAACCAAGGCTAGGTCAGACGCCATTAAAATATTCGTTTGCAGAAACACATTCATAAGACTGATTCGTGGTTATACACGACGTTAGAAGTCATTAAGAATATTGATTTTTAATGATACAATCATAAATGTTCATTGACTTGAGACTGTTTTGCAATGAATTGAGACTTTTGGCAAAATTCTTACTCACATAAACGATTGACATTTTTTTAATAAATGTGTTGACTTATAGTCCAGTCAATGAATGCTTTAACGACGGTGTAGAGAGAAATCCATGGAACACAATTTCTGACCTCGGGACTTTATTTAGACTAGTTAGGAGGTGAACATAGCAAAAGTCCCCGCCCTTAGCCCTTAAGCCGGCGGGGAGAGGGGGGTTTAAAGGTACCACTTTTCGGTTTTTCCCTTAATCCTCGGAAACTATGCGTCCTAGTGACATGACTACTATGAACCAAAAAAAGCTTATTCAATTTGCTACAGGTGAGGTAGTCAAGTTTTTCTATATCTTGTATAGTTTTCGCGGCATCTGCTCTAGAAGGTCTGTAATATTGGAAATTTTATTTTTGTCTTACATGTTCCCATCAGGAGAAAATCGACTAAATCAACATTGAGCTAATATTCTAGACATGCGGGAGCATGTTAAGCCTAGTTCCAGGGAGGGGACTGCACCGTGCGTATATTTAGACGAACCACTTGGAGCCACTTTTGACTCCTCATCACTCAAAAAGTACTGTGCATTAACACTTCAAATTTGGCTCATGTGTTGAGACTTGCAAGATAAACATCAGCTTCAAATTTCATAAATATACCTCAAACGGTTATTTAGGTATTGACGTTCAAAAATCGACATTTAGGGCACTAAAATCTATCTATCACCTGTGAAATATTAAAATTTACTGATTTTTTATTTGTTCCTTTGTATTTACACAACTACCTATCTGGATGCCAAATTTGAACCTTCAAGGTCATCTGGAAGTGGTTAGAATTTGGTCTTATAGGTCAGCCATGTAGATTTTTGGACGTCAATACCTAAAGAACCGTTTGAGGTATGTTTATGAAATTTGAAGCTGATGTTTATCTTGCAAGTCTCAACAAATGAGCCAAATTTGAAGTGTTAATGCACAGTACTTTTTGAGTGATGAGGAGTCAAAAGTGGCTCCAAGTGGTTCGTCTAAATATACGCACGGTGCAGTCCCCTCCCTGGAACTAGGCTTAACATGCTCCCGCATGTCTAGAATATTAGCTCAATGTTGATTTAGTCGATTTTCTCCTGATGGGAACATGTAAGACAAAAATAAAATTTCCAATATTACAGACCTTCTAGAGCAGATGCCGCGAAAACTATACAAGATATAGAAAAACTTGACTATCTCACCTGTAGCAAATTGAATAAGCTTTTTTTGGTTCATAGTAGTCATGTCACTAGGACGCATAGTTTCCGAGGATTAAGCGAAAAACCGAAAAGTGGTACCTTTAAACCCCCCTCTCCCCGCCGGCTCAAGGGCTAAGGGCGGGGACTTTTGCTATGTTCACCTCCTAACTAGTCTAACTAAAATCCCGAAGTCAAAAATTGTGTTCCACGGATTTCCATCTATAATGCTTTATTGACTGGACTATTAACTATGTACTTACCTACTGTTTACTCTTTATCAATAAAAGTTGATCTAATTAGGTATATCAATCTCCTACACAACTATGCATGTAATAACGTTTTCCAAAAGCATTAAAAAATGCATGTAACATAAAGAAAACGGAGTCTTGTAGATGCTCATAGTTAGACTTTTACGGGTTAACTAAATAAATAGTTTGTGTTATAAAGATATGAGTTGATAAATTATAAAATAAACCAGGTTCTATTCCAAAGCACGAGTATACATTGGAAATATCATAAGCCAATCCTATGAAACAACTCGTAAAATGCGTAAATCTTGTGTACCATACCGTCTAATATCACCGCACTATTCTATGTGCTCCGGCCATTATCGAGAGAGGAGAGTACTGGCGCTCTGTAGTACAGGCTTCTCGCCTAGTTCAGACTCCAGTTCTCTCACAATCTTACCCTGTTCAATTAGTACATAGCAATTTGTGTTTCACTGTATTATTGGATTGTGAAAGAAAGAAATAAATGCTTTTATTATTATTATTATTACTAACCTGGCGGTGGCAAGGAGTTCAGATCGAGTCCCAGAGGATTATAAATTCCCCCGGTAGTGTTGCACAAGTGGTTGGCCTGGCTAGCATCCAGTAGCCTCGGTGGTAGCTCCTTGATGCTGTACTGCATCATGGAGCTGACGAAGCGCAGGTTGGACTCGTAGTCCTGGTCCGCGGCGCCGAGCTGGAAGTTCACCCAGGTCGGGTCGAAGGGCGAGCGCTGGCTAAACTCTACCGTGCCGCGGATGCCGTCCATGTTGATAAGTGCCCTGGGAATTACATAAATTATCATCCTCACTTTATACTACGAAACTCCAATCATCATAACTTGCTTATGCTAGGAGATTCCAGGAAAGTAGAAGTTATCTTCGTTACTGATATTTGCAAGGAGACTCCAGAAAAGTTGGTAATTAAAGAATTAATAACAGTTGTAAACACTTTGGTAGATAATTAGATAGTAAACACTCAGAATTTTTTGCATTGTACGAGGTTCGTACTCACAGCATCTGGTGTAATAGCTAAGTTTTTAATCAAAACAACAAATCGCTGTAAAAATAATAATGAAATCAATTATTTCTTACTTTGTGCTCTTCGGTTCCATCACCCTCAACTTCGCACACGCCAAGAAGCTATCCGAATGTCTATTGTCGAAGATCACCACGTACAGACTCCTCTTGGTCACCTCCATGTCACTCCTCAGGATGTTCAGCACCTCATCCTTATAAAGATACTTCAGCTTCTTCTTTTTAGCGTCAGTGGCCACTTTGACCAGACCCAGCCTGCTGTCAAGATCTCCCACACTCATTCCATCACCACTGTTCTCTGGATCAAAAACTAACTGAAGCACATTGCAATTATCTTCATGATTCCCTTTGTCAGAATCGAAAATATCTGTCACGAACAACTTCCATTTGTGCTCTGTGTAGTCCATTTTGTCTGTCACAGCTTTTGTATGGTATAAGTCGGCCTGAACGTATGAATCAGACTCGTCGAATTCACGCGCAGAAAGCCATCGGAAATGCAATGTCCCTGCGACTGGAGACGCAAACCTGGCGACTGCATGCTTCTCATACAACTTATCAGTGGAAAGTATAGACGCGCATATAACTCTGTCTCTCTCTGCAGTTTCTAATACTATACTCTTCCCCCACAGTCCACTAATACCAGTCAGACTGTTTCTGCTTTCGAATTCAGCGTGGTCTTTGCCTGGGATGATAAGATATCCCAGTTCTTCCGTCAAGTCTATGAGTTCCCTCCCTAGATTTGTCTCGGAACATCTTTCTCCAGTTAAATCTCGGTAGTCCACAGGAAATTCGTGGATGGTCCATCTCCAGACACCATCAGGGTACTGTAAAGTTGGTTTGAGGTTGGTTCTAATACTGATCAGGGTCTCGTTTTTGTGTGAGAATTCTATTTCGCCGTGGAGGCCATGTTGTGAGATGTATGCTCGCAGCACCAGACCAGATGATGACCCTGGTAAAGAAAAATACATTTTGAAGTCAAAATATTCAGATAAATATTCAGTTAAGGTGTACCTAGCCGTTAAAGATTTTGTAAACAAAAAATATTAATGTCATTGTTGCATTTAAGAAACTCTTTTGTAGAGACAAAAATAATCAAGATCATTTTTAGCCAGCCCATTTTTATAGAAGCCTAAAATTTCTAGCAAAACTCTACAAAACATTATCAATAGAAACCAGTCCAAACCAAAACAAATTGGGAAAAAACGTGGGCACTTTCCTACCTAAATTATTTATAGCATTCGTCCTTGTATTCCTATAGTTTTATTTTTAACAATATCCTGAACCAGTTTTAAAAGCAATCACAAGCGAGTCAGATATTGCCGATTTCCTGTACGCAAGTTAAGCAAAGTTAAAAACTTTGGTATGGAAAGTTCACATTTTAAAGTTAACTTTCTTTTACACAAACTTGCTTAAAATTAGTATGAATATTAGTAGATTCTGAATAACAACTGTTTGTCCATTTAGGGTAAATATAATTTCTGAGTATTTGACGATAAATGTTACTAACAACATGTAACTTATCGAAAAAACATCTTAACTTAACTGGAACTTAAAACCAAAGTACTTACCACAAAAAAACAACAGGATATAACCTAAGCACAACAACTTTGGCACCACATGACTACAATGTTTATACATTTTAGTATCATTTAACTATAACTTTACGCTACCGTATCATCACTGAGTGTTTGTAACTTGCCAGGTTTCTCCGAGGCTCATGGCTAAGTGAAAGGCAGTCTGAGAGCGAGACGGCTGTATGAAGGAGTGAGAGGCTCTGTGACGTCATGAGGTCGCGGTGTGGTAACTTGGAGTCATCGTCGTCACTCGTTAAGTAATGCAATCACGTCATTAAGCATAGTTTGTTTACTTTGAGTTCAACGCCTCTGTGCTCATAACTGGGTGCGATTACCAGGTGAAACATAGACAATGCATGCATATTAGTCGGCCGTTTGGTGTAGTGGTTCGAAACGGACTACTATGGCGAGAGGTCCCGGGTTCGATTCCCGGCTGGGCAGAAATTGAAATGATGAATTTTAATTTCTGTGACCGGTCTGGGTGTTACTATGTAATAAGCATGTATTTACAAAAAAAAAGTATTTAAGTATGTTTATCCGTTGTCTAGTCTAGTACCCATAGTGCAAGCTTTGCTTAGTTTGGGACTAGAAGCGTAGGTAAAATGGCCAAGGATTGCATTAGGTAGGTAGGCTTTATTTATCATCAGGAAACCTGACTGCTGTGGCAGTTAGTGGTTTGTGTAGGACTCTCCCTCTAAGAACTTCCATGTTCCATGTGACATGCAATAAATAATTTGAATTTGAATTTGAATTTGATGTCCTCAGCAGTAAGACGGATATCTTAGGTGACAATATGATTTGGAAAAGCAATTTTCTTATGAAAATAAATTATCATATAGGTACCTAATGCCCGTTTGCACCATCAATCCCTAATTTTTTAGCGACCCCTATGGTAACACAGTTAACAGGCATTTTGTTTTCATGGGGGTCATTTAAAAATTAGGGATTGATGGTGAAAACGGGCATAAGCCTCCGGAATCTAGATTCACATGTTTATCCCTGAGCTTATCCTTAATATGCATTTCCTATTACAAAATGGCGGACTCTACATTTTTAATGCTTGTGATTGATTTATTATGTTGAATGTGATGATACTGATTCCATTCTGACTTTACCTATTATAGTATAGGATAACATATCGCACCTACGGTGCAATAACGTCACTTATGCAATTTTTTTCAAAACAACTGAATCAAAGTAAACCAAGTAAAGAGCTATATTTGGAGTATTACCACAGAATAATAATAAGTATGGTATTACTCATAATCAGTAAAGTTTTGAAAAAAAATTGCATAAGTGACGTTATTGCACCGTAGATGCGATATTATAACTGTCATAATAATTCAAAATAACTATGCTCAATGCATTCTACCTTTCAGCAGGATTCGAACCCGCTACCGCAGCTAGTATTGTATCTCCGTACACCACCAAACAAGGCCATCTATTTATTTCATTTGTGGTGATATTTTTGACATCAATATTGTTCAAAATAATCTCCTTAGGTTGTCTGGAAGAGATCACTCAATACTCTTCATAGCCATAAAACCGCTTAAATTGTGTCGTTAATTTTGTGTATTTCTTTCTTTTCTAAGGTCTTTTTCTATCCCATCCAGGTTTCGGTTCAGTAGGACTGTGTAAGTGGGCAACATTCAGCGATCAGTGACGTCACGGTATCGGTGCGCGCGCGCTATTCGCGGCGCGTGACTCAGCCGCTGAAGTAAGGTTATTGTAATCCACACCAGTGGAGTTTTTCGCCTAAACTAGCTCTGTGAGGGACAGCTGGGGTTTGAGACATCGGAAACGTTTTTGGTTCGAGAAAAGTCAAACAGAAAATTGATATTCTGAATCTGAGAATCACGTCTGCTTCCTAACTTCATCGTTGTCAAATAACTGGGTCAAACGAATCGAATAGGGAATTGTATTTATGAATTTTCCTAATATTTTTCCTAAAACTCAGCAAAGACTAATATGTAAGGAAGCATTATTTGACTAGCAAATAATTAACTTTGCCTACAACTTCAAATTGTTCTCCACAGTATCTGAAGACTCTGCACTTTTGCAGATCTTATTGATTATGTTAATCTGAAGGGAACGGACTGCATCTCAGGATGATGTCTCTACGTATGATTTTATTTGTCAAATTATGATCCTCTTACCCCTTTAAAGTCTTATTCATTCGCATAGTCTGCTAATCCAATTAAATTAACGTCGACTCAGGAATCGAACCCGCGCTATCAGTCAATTGTCATAATATTGTGATCAGTAACATTTTTCCATGATCTTTTAAAATCACAGTTTCACATAGTTTCATTAGATTTATCATTCATTATTTAGGTACTGCTCTAAATTATCTTGGTCACCTATTTCTAAAAGCGCCACTATTACGCTGTAGTACTCACGTAGACCAGTTTCAATTTGAAATTACCCTACATTTTATAGCATGATTCATCTTGGCTGCGTGCGCGTGTCGTCACAGCTCTCTTGATACATGGCTCTGCCAGCCAGATTCAATCACTTTCGTTGCCGCAAGTCCACGAACCTAATAAATAAGACATGACTTCTGGAATGCAGGATGTGACGAATATTTGAGACGCCCAAAACATCAGCCGTTTGATCTTTCTATGTGTATAGAGATGACGGTTCTATCCTTTGATTATTTACCTTTTTATCATATTAATATTGGCTAATGAGAACATTTTGGCATAAATCCAATGGCATGATGGATCAACCATAAAAGTTACAACAATCAACTTTATATCAATCTTAGACCTACTTGACAATTGAATAAGGTTTCTATATTATAATAAAAATAATTAAGGGTGTCTATATTCTAAGATGGATGTATTGTGGGTTTACTTTTAGGATTTTAATTTAATATTTAAGTAAGTACCGTAAGCATTCGCCAATGCCTGAATAAAAATATTTTTAAAAATCTCTGTAAAGCTGAATTGAGACTTGGAAAATAATAGAGACAGACAGGTTTGTGCTGGACGAATAAAATGAGCAACCCCATATTCATCGTCATCATCATTTCAGCCATAGGACGTCCACTGCTGAACATAGATATAAGGCCTCCCTCAATGATTTTCACAATGGCCGGTTGGTGGCGGCATCCAGCGCCTTCCCGCTACCTTTACGCCATATTAATTATATTAAAAATCATACACACTTACACATACCTACCTACATAATGTAGGCAATTCTTTTACCTAATGAAAGAGAGTTTAAGGCGTAACATTCACAAATAGAATTCCAAAACGGAACCACTGCTACAGTATAGTTACGTATCAATTCTGTATTATAAATTCCAACACTGCACTGTATCAGAAGTTTATCACACATCATTGATATAGAGTGCATCTTGATGATTAATTAATGGACGACTTTTTTACCTGACTAGCAATCCGAGAACTTTTTGAAACCCTGAGAGTTATTGAATCTGATAAAAACTTAGAAGTTAAAGTCTAACCCCCTTACTAATAAAACTTACACGCTCGTTGAACAGTGACGTTTAGTATGGAAATGTCATTTTAAAACAGTGTTCAACAACTGTGTAACTTTTTATTAGTAAGGGGGTAAATATTTTAGTCACCGAAATTATTGTTAGCGATTAAGTTCATTTATCTATCAACTTGCTAAACACATGTTTTTAACAATAGCTTTGATCAAACTTTCGGAGTAAACTACCTACTGTTAGCATTTGAATTAATATTCTAGTTCACTAAAGAGATACCAAACACTCGTTCGCAGTCGATGGGTACACGTTCGTATTTACTCATTACCAATAAATATAATTACCGATTCAATAAAAAGAAACCTTAGGATTAAAGTTTGCTCCATGACAAGCTATTCGAAGGAAGTGAACCACCACAAGAAATCGTGAAAGTCGAAAACGAAATGTGAAGACCAACTGCCTGTAACCACAAGCGTTACTCCCTAACTACTAGCTTTCCCTACAATTTAACAACAATAAACATTCCTGACTAACACCACAAAGCAATTTGCATTTCAAAATTAGCGGCGTCGTCAATGGCAGATTCCTAAAATACTGCAATTCCGGATCGGACCTCGAAAACTAAAACAGAATCAGGTGAGCTGATTATTTTTGTAAATGACAAAGCTGATGCGACGGCCGAGCCCGCGAGCCGCCCCGACCGGTCTGATGCGAATACGCTCGGGGAAGATCCGATTCGTCGAACTAAATATGGAATCGCAGGCGCAACCAATTCGGGAGGAAGGGTGGGGGAACACTCCTGGATGTTCAGCCGGGACCGAGTCTTCGGAGTCAGGGTGGGACTGCCGTCGAGCACAGTCTCTCCTTCGTCGATCGTCCAACACACAACACAATGGTAAGTGGCGGTGACGTGAAAGTGAAGTGAAGTGATCAACTGTGATAATGCAAAGTAATGCAAGCTCAAACAATACGCGTGGACGATAACAGTGATAAAACAAACGTGAAGATGAACGGCTTCGAAGATCGGGGTAGGGCAGTCAATCAGTATAGACAATCAATCGGTGATCAAATACGAATAGAAGCCTTAGAAGCGGACAGCAACGATATACGAACAACAAAATTACCAAAACTTGAATTCCAAACTTAAATAATATTTGAATCGGGTCAATCGAAAAGTTAAATCAAATAAAATAAACTTAACGAAAAGAATCTAAATAAACTTAAGCCGCTATTATGAAATTGCACTTAACAATAAGTTGTAACCTGTGACGAATCTAAATATTGAAATTCAATCAATCCTATCCAAGACCTGCGTCTATTCAAATAGAGCTCAGGTTCAATTACCTACTTCTAAAATTTTCTGAAATCGGACCGAAAACTTTTCAATTCAAGCGAAACTTACAATTTTATAACTTCAGTCTACTCTAACACATTCGTTAGCATACATACCTTAAAACAGAACTTGAAAATACAGGTCGAAGAAACTTAGACACTACAAATAATTTCAAAACACACCGAACTATTAAGTAATACAGCTACTATTGAAGCGAAGAAAATGGGAACACATGATAATCTATTTATAATATTTTTACGTAACATTCCGATGGACGTCGAATGTAAGCGGACGCCAGGTTGGGGCTAAATTTAGAGGCGTCGCCGGCCCCTCCCATACTGGAAGCGAGTGCTGAAACGGGTCCAAAAATAAATACGACCACGCGCCAATTTATCAATTATCGGATCGCAAAAATAAAAAAATTTAAGAAATCTTTTTCTGACTAGAAAATTTTGAGATGCTAAAAGTAACTTCGATTAACAAGGCAAATTAAACAGAACAGAAACTTGGAGTAAAAATGAATCCAACTGCATCTAAAACCGGAATAGGTACTATGCTTTTCAATCAAACAGCAAAAACGGATAAAATCGAAATTGAAAATGATGTAATAGAATTCCAGTGTTTTGTATTCAGTATTTTTTTTTTAAACGGGCTGTCTTCTCTTCCAGGCGGATAAGGATAAGAAAGTAAAGAAGAAGAAGGCGAAAGAAGATGCGCCAGCTGAGGAGGCGCCCGCACCAGCGGCGCCCGCGGCGTCCGGCGGCAGCGAGAGGCAATCCTCCCGCGGCAGCCGCAAGGCCAAGCGCACCGGCTCCAACGTCTTCTCCATGTTCTCACAGAAGCAGGTCGCCGAATTCAAGGAGGTGGGTCAAGGAGCCAGAATGAGGAGATTTAGCTTAAGTACTTTAGGCGTGATAACTTATATCACAGAGAAGATCACATTGCAAGCCAGGGTTTCTGCAGTAGAATAAGGTGGAATGAGGGGCTTTAGCTTATGAACTTTAGGCGTGATTAGTAAATTCACAAGGAGGTTCGGATTGCATGCTCATTCAGAGCACATATTGTATCTACGCAGATTTCCGAGATCTGCTTCTAAGAATGCTGTAGGTGCATAGAATACCTTCTTAAAGGCAGATAAGCAGGATTATCTAAGGATATCAAGGAATCTGTAGTGTAGCAACCACAAGCGAAAGATTTGTTCTAGCTAGAGAACAATTGTTTATTGCTTGTAACTCTCAACAAAATAAACTTTTATAGTAAAAAATGTAGCATCAAAATGTACAAATCTAGGCTACTATTACAATAGCTCTACAAGCTTAGCGCGTGCGCGGCACGTGTTTTGTAAACACAGCCGCCGTTTGTTATCATTCGCGCAGACGCGCACATTTTCCACATCTTACTATCGTGACATCATTACGATTCCACGAAGCATCTTCCCTAATCCTCAAGAGTAATATTTACCAATCATGCAAGGAAACTCATGATGCTTTGAAGGTGTACACCATAACTGACGTCTATCCCTCTTCCGCAGGCCTTCCAGCTAATGGACCACGACAAGGACGGTATCATCGGCAAGAACGACCTCCGCGCCACCTTTGACTCGCTCGGCAGGCTGGCGTCCGAGAAGGAGCTGGACGAGATGGTGAACGAGGCCCCCGGCCCCATCAACTTCACGCAGCTGCTGACCCTCTTCGCCAACCGCATGTCCGGCGGCTCCGACGAGGACGACGTCGTCATCAACGCCTTCAAGACCTTCGACGAGGAGGGCAAGATCGACTCCGAGAGGCTCAGGCACGCGCTCATGACCTGGGGAGACAAGTTCTCCGCCGACGAGGTCGACGAGGCGTACGACCAGATGGAAATCGACGACAAGGGCTTCATCGACACCACCAAGCTCATCACCATGCTGACCGCCGCCGCAGAGGAGGACGAGGGCGGCGAAGCTGCGTAGTTCCACCCGCGCCAGTCTCCGCCCGACCCGCGGTTCGCAACATCTAGAACCGACTTTTTATTATAATTTCTATATGTAATTTATTGTTTCCATTTTTTTATTTATATATAATGAAAATATAGTTCTACTATTACCAACTCGTGTAGTGCTGTCCCCGAAGATCAAAGCAGATATTTTGTAAAGAATACTATGTATTCATTATAATTTTCAAATAAAGATTTTAAAAGTCTGATTATGTTAGACTAGATGCGCCTCTAAGGCCGTTTTATAATCCACGACTTTATCATTACACACGAACATTAACCCGACACAAACCCAAACAGTTATTTCTGCTCTGGCGTGGTGCCAAGTACGGGTTCGATTCCCAGTTAGGCTATTTCAGGCGCAAATACAATATTAAACTCATAGGATGTGGACTCAAATCTCACTAAAGCACTTACTCGCCTAGTTACCGAACTGTGCTAGTCATTATCGAGGAGACTTTTTGGGAACATAAGCCAAAAATAGCAATTAGACAATAACTAATTAAAAACACGATCTTTCTTCACATTTATGCTGCCATGTATAGCTAGATGAGCGACCATAAGTGCCACTTGTGGTTCTAAGCTGAATATTTTTGATTTTGATTTTTGACCTAAGTATTTAACCCACAAGCAGCTTCTTTACATACTACAAAGTCGCCCCCACTGTTTATAACTTAGATATTTTAAACTACATACATAACGAAATGAAATTCAATGCAGTTTTCAGTAATAAATAGAATGACTCTAGGACTTCTTGGGGACGGCATTACACAGCACCCGTGGGAATCCTGGGTATAAAATAATAACAAAGGATAAGATAGAAATAAGATAGAAAAACATTATTTTCTTTTAAACTAATTGCCAAACGAATTTTTCCTGTTTAGCCCAAAGGATGACTGGCAGAGAATGCTTTAAGTACGCCTTAAGTAACAACTCTATGGCATAAATAAATATTTTTAAATGGACAGGACCGGGATAGAACTCGGGAACTGGCACTACTATGCGACTACTCCATCGGATAATAAAATAAAAAAAAATCTTTTTTATTCGTCAATTGTTACAGAAAATAATTAATAAATGCTAAATGCGTAAACAGAAACGAAGCCAACTGTGACAGTAGTGACATTGACAAGAATGACAGACAGCAGTACAGCACTGCTTCTGCTGCTGTCAGTAGTCAGCTGAATTTGTGTTTTGGTGTGAAAATGACCGCAGAAACAGTTCAAAATACAACAAAAACGTTTAAATTCTCGTTTCCAACATGTACCAACGAAGATTTGCTGTTCAAATTAGAGGTCCCCGTGGAGATACCGCACAGCGGGTCCACACGAGAGCTCGTGCAAAGAGTTATGAACATGTTTCACATTCCAGTGTATTTAGAAGATGGTGAGCTTCATTTTTATGTTTATTACGCTTATAATACTTTCATAAGCTACTTAGGTGGAGTTCTAAGAGGGAAGAGGAGAAGTGTTTATGTGTAAAATGCATCGCACATACACGACAGTAATCATGCAGTAATGGGTAACTTCCGTCCTATTACGCCCATTTTATTTTATTTTTATTTTTTATTTTATTTTATTTATTAGGACAACCAACAAGACATTTTGTAGTTAAATTGTCTACCCTAATCATTAATTTTATTGATAAACATGTGAACAATGATTTATCGATTTATTTCCATCCAGAAAATGATGTAGATAGGCAAGTGCTATCTTTCACTTGGATATTGTGGGTATGCATTTTTTTCTGCTAACTTACCCTACTTTACGAAACAACTTGTATTTTTTAATTATATGAGGGTATCTAGAAACATGAACATTTTCAATTTAGGAAATACCTGTATCAGTAAAATTAAAGTGATTAATTTTATTATGATTTAGATTTCGAAGTTTGAAAATTTTCAAAACCATTGAAGTTGTGAATATTATTGAAAAGTAATTTAGGTGGTACTTAAAACTTTCAAGACATATTTTCGTTAATTTATTTGATGTTTGTTATTTCACAATTCTAGAACTCAATGAAAAGCTTGCTGAATTTGTCACTGAAGAGACAAAAAACTTCCACAATGACCGTGATGAAAAGCTCCTTAATCAGCTCAAAAACAGTGAACTTAACGTAGAAGGCATCGTCAAAAACTGGGAGAAGATGTTCAAGGACAACGTCATGGAGTTTGCAGAACAAAAAGGAACGTCGGACGAGGAAGTGTTTGCTGCAGCGTACCATAAGCTTGTGCATTCACCGGCGTTAGAAACGATACTGCAAGTTGAAAATTCATACGCTAAGACTGTGATGAATACTGTGAAGAATAGGGATGAAGATATCAAGGTCCTAACTCAGAGGTAAGTGTTTAACAAACTTAGCAGTGTTTTTGTCAAATTTTAAATGATAAAGTCAATTTTGCTAGTGAGATTAAACTACCCACATTAATTTAATGTTATTGTAGGTAGGTAAAAAGAAGATACAGGTTTATAAAATAAAAAAGTATTTAATTCAGATAACATGATTTTTTATGATTTGTAGATACCACAAGAGTGTGTATTATTGTACATTTTTATAGTACTCTTAAGTACCCACCCACTGGTTATCAGTTGATTCAATTTAAGAATATTACTAACAATTCTATTTCTAGGCAAACAGAAGAAATGGAAGAGAAAGTCCGGCTCCTAAACCTATCAACAACAGAGGAGGAGATCAACGAGCTAGCAGCCGAGCACTTCGAACAACAGAGCCTGGCGGCCGGCCGCTGGGGCTCGCAGCTCGATGCCTTGGCTCAGGCGCAGCGGGCGCATTATAGGGCTTGGCTCATGCGCACACTTGAACAGTACCAGCATAGCGCGCAACTGCATACGCCCACGTGAGTCGAAGTCCAAGTTTTAGTCTAGGCGCAGCCACCGATTTTTCGATGGAAGACACATTACACCGATTTGTTGTCGGCCGATTCTTCATACAAAATAGAATCGGGTCCAACTATAAGTCGGTTGTCTGTATTTTTATTGTCAACCGCAGATGTCTCCCGTTTTCAAACGGAGGGAAATCAATGTTATATTTCAAGCTCCTCCTACATTCTTCTGATTAAATTCCATGCGGGTTCTAACCTAGTTTGCTATCCCCCGGGACTACTCAAACTCCACTGGTGAAGTTTCATTTCATTGCAGTCCAAGCTGTAGATCCTAACTATAATTGATAGTAGCTCTCTCCTGTAAATGTCATAATTATAATGGTTATCCAACGTAGTAATAATCGGAACTAATAATCCTGTATAAATAGTAGCGTACTCCTGACAATGCAATAGCTGAGACGGTTTAGTCACAAATTCAGTGTAGGAGATCTTTATAGTTGTCAGCTATGACATTGTCAGGAGGGCGCTACTATCAATACTGGGTTAATAGGATTTTTGGCAAGTTGGAAAACACTGAAATTTTAATGTAAAGTACAATGACCAAAAGTGGTCCAAATGTCCACCACTAATGAGACCTATATTGGCTTATAGTCCATTAAATAGAGATTAACTTTCAGTATGGGACGAAAAAAAAATAAGCTGTCAGTAAAAAGTTATGACTGTTTGAATAATTATAGTAGTTTACGCGCTAATCTCAGGAACTACTAGTCCGATTTGAAAAATTCTTTTTGTTATGGATAGCCCATTTATCAAGGGTGGTTTAAGAATAAATACCATCACCCTACAACCAATAGGGGCGGAGCAGTAAAGATAAATGTTGTAAAAAATGGGAAATATTATTCAAACTACATATTTTCACGCGTACAAAGTCGTAGGCACAGCTAGTATAATATTTAATAAAATTCATCTATAACCCCACGCCACATGCGACATGACATAACATGCGTAGATTAGTCCAAAATGTGCAATGGATAGAATGACATCAAAAACATTTTTCGGATGAAAAGGTAAAAAACAAACTTTTCGTTCAGTCATAACTTTTTACTGACAGCATATTTTTGACTGCGGTTTGGTTATAATGAATCAGTATTTAGTAGACTATTTTACTGCATAGGTCTCGTTAGTGGTGGACATTTGGACCACACTCCATACATTTTTGGTCATTGTCCTTTTGCAGGACGCTGCTATCAATGCTGGGTTATTTGTTTTTGTTATGATTTTTACCACTTGACGTTTCAGAATCGTACAAGTATATACCTTGATTCTTGACTAAAGCCCGGTCTGTGAGCACGTATAATTTTGTCCAATGACCCCAAGCTACCCATCCTTATCGCTCGCGCGTTATTATATTGCTGTCGCGACTGTGCGACGGGTGCCCGCAGTGAGTGTGCGAGCGCGACAGCAACATAACTACGCGCGAGCAATAAGGATGGGTAGCTTGGGCTCTTTGGACAAAATTATACGTGCTCGCGGACCAGTTCGTTCGTTCGTTTCAGTCGAAAGACGTCCACAGCTGGACAAAGGCCTCTCCCAAGGATTTCCACAAAGACCGGTCCTGCGCCGCTCGCATCCAGGCACCTTCCGCGACTTTCACCAGATCGTCGGTCCACCTAGTGGGAGGCCTGCCCACGCTACGTCTTCCGGCTCGTGACTTTCCTGCCCCAGTGGCCATCAGCTCTCCGTGCTATGTGCCCCGCCCACTGCCACTTGATTTTAGCGATTCTGCGGGCTAAGTATGTCAGTCACTCTGGTTCTCCTCCGGATCTCCTCATTTCTGATTCGACCACGCAGGGAAACTCCGAGCATAGCACGCTCCATCGCTCTTTGGGTGACCTTGAGCCTTCTTATGAGAAAGGACCAGACATTCTATAAAATGTATTTATTTCCCAGCAACTCTCCTCTCGGCACGTTCTCGCCTCCGCTAGCGGCTGAGGGCGGAGCGCCTCGTCCGCGGCTGGAGGAGAGCTTCACCATCCACCTGGGCAGCCAGCTCAAGCAGACGCACAACGTCCGCATCGTCGCTATGGACATGCGGGACTTGTGCACGCTCGACCATGTCGACAAGTTAGTACTGGCACAGAATAATAATAAGTACTACATACAGAAGTTTTACTTCGCGAAGGTATTTAAAAAAATGTATGCTCAATGTCATTAACAATATGGTGTAATTTAGCTTGTCTCAAGAGTCAAGCACCATTTTGTTGACAAACGTCAGTGATCGGACTTCGGTAAAATGATGTGACGTGAGTGAGGTGCCAAACTGCGGAAAATGGCGGAGGAAATACATGATTTAGCATGAATTATCATGAATAATATGAACTACTTATTTACCTCTCAGTGTCTTGAGGCAACTTAAAAAAGTACATTCTGTGTTTTTATTATTATTTAGGCAGTTAAATACTGCACAGTATTTAGTACACCATTTTCTTTATTTTCTTCCATCATACACAAGAATACGCGTGCGTGAGTCAATGTTCGCTCGTATGTGAGGCCTTGTCGAATAGTATCCTGTAGGTGGGCCATCGTGCGTGTTTTGTTTTCGATGTAAACTCGCGGAGATGAACAGGCCTGGTTATACCACGAATTATTCTCGGATAACAGTTTGGCTGAATCGGGCCTAAGTGAAGACAGAAGAATTCATTTCTCTCCATTCTAGCCTATTAAACTCAATCCAGTTTTCAATTATTTGACCTATTCCTTATCTGTTGGATAGTTATGACGCTTCTTCCCATCATCTTTTAGATTTAAGTTACATACTTTGAAATTGATGAGTAGTTAAATGAGTTTTTTTACCACACAGTAACGTCATCGGCTTGTATTGCCATACAAATTGTATGAGATACTACTAACCTATTCCGACATTAAGTTGTGAAGCGAAGTAGCATCGCCAGAATTGTTAAAAGAAATGTCGTTCGTTCGTTCGTTTCAGCCAAATGACGTCCACTGCTGGACAAAGGCCCCCTCCAAGGCTTTCCACAATGCACGGTCCTGCGCTGCCCGCATCCAGGCTCTTCCCGCGACCTTTACGAGATCGTCGGTCCACCTAGTAGGAGGCCTGCCCACGCTACGTCTTCCAGCCCGTGGTCGCCACTCGAGAACTTTTCTGCCCCAACGGCCATCGTCTCTACGAGCTATGTGCCCCGCCCACTGCCACTTGGTTTTAGCAATTCTGCGAGCTATGTCGGTCACTTTGGTTCTCCTGCGGATCTCCTCATTTCTGATTCGATCACGCAGGGAAACTCCAAGCATGGCCCGCTCCATCGCCCTTTGGGTGACCTTGAGCCTTCTTATGAGGCCCATAGTAAGCGTCCACGTTTCGGATCCATAAATCAACACTGGCAGCACACACTGCTCGAAGACATCATGTCTAATGTCCGTGTCGCACCCACTCCTTTGAAGGTTGGAGACTCTACACTCGAAGTTGTTGACAATTATGTATACCTGGGACAAACAGTCCAGTTAGGTAGGGCCAACTTCGAGAAAGAGGTCAATCGTCGAATCCAACTCGGCTGGGCAGCGTTCGGGAAGCTACGCAATATACTCACGTCCGAAATACCGCAGTGTCTCAAGACAAAAAGAAATGTACGGAAAATTAATTTATTGTCTGTTATGTGAAATGGTGTGGACTGGAATCAAAATTATCTGAAGTTTGACAGTTATGAACTGCATTAGTTTTTAAGACATATTGTTCAAAGAAAGTTCAAGTAGTTCAACCGCATTCAAAAGCTGAAACCTAATCAGCTGTATTCCTTTCCGCAGCCCCCTGGAATCGTCTCGTCGGTTGCAAACATCCCTAGGATTATATTCGACTGAGTTATCAGCGTGCGTGCTGATAAGCGATCGCGTGCCGCCCGACGCACTGCCCGCCGCCGCCGCCGCTACGGAACATCACTTTCCATCTGTGGACGCACAGCTAAGGGAGATTGCTGATAGGATTAAGGAGCCGGTGAGTGTCTAATGTGTGACTTATGGCTCGGAAACGTGGCCCCTCACTATAGGCCTTATACAGAAGCTCAAAGTTGCACAGCGTGCTATGGAGAGGGCTATGCTCGGTGTTTCTTTACGAGATCGAATCAGAAATGAGGAGATCCGTAAACGAACTAAAGTCGCTGACATAGCCCGACGGATTAGCAAGCTGAAGTGGCAGTGGGCAGGGCACATAGTACGCAGAACTGATGGCCGATGGGGCAGCAAGGTTCTGGAATGGAGGCCACGTACCGGAAAACGCAGCGTAGGACGTCCACCCACAAGGTGGACCGACGACCTGATAAAGGTAGCAGGAAGGCGCTGGATGCAGGCCGCTACCAACCGTGCGATGTGGAAGTCATTGGGGGAGGCCTATGTTCTGCAGTGGACGTCCTGTGGCTGAAATGATGATGATGATGATTAGACACTCCTAATACAGTAGTTTGTAGCTATTTTCGAACCAGATATTACCGCGGTCTTCTAGGAGCCGGTGAATGTCACAGCATCCTAGAGCCAGACATATCTCGCCTAACCTTTTATAAGAATCTTGGTGGCTGCAGACATTATCCGCCTATGAACGCGCAGCTTAGAGAGATTGCTGAGAGGATCAAAGGGCCAGTGAGTGTTGGTTATATTACAACAGCCTGTGACTATCCTAAAACCAAACATATTATCCTGCTTAGTCCCCTAGAAACATCTTGACGCTAGCAGATGTCGTCACCAGCACCATTTCTCGAATATCGTCGCGTAGCTCAGGGGGATTGCCGAGAGCATCAAGGAGCCGATGGGTTTTACAGTAAGTTGTGGCTATCTTACAGCCAGACATAGCCTGCCTAGCCTTCTAGAAGCATCGCAGCGGCTGCAGACGTCACTAGGACTATATTCGACTGAGTTATCAGCGTGCGTGCTGATAAGCGATCGCGTGCCGCCCGAAGCGCTTCCCGCCACCGCCGCCGCTACGGAACATCACTTTCCATCCGTGGACGCACAGCTAAGGGAGATTGCTGAAAGGATTAAGGAGCCGGTGAGTGTTATAACTATCCTAGAGCCAGACATATCCCGCTTAAAAATTTAGAAGCATCTCGACGGCTGCAGATGTCACTAACACCACTTCTCGTTTGCGGACGGAATGTCGGTCATATTCTCACATCACAGCAGGCTGTAGCTATCCTAGACCTTGTGTTTACTACAAAAGCTGAGATGTGTAGAGACAAAGCGGCATAACGCGCAAGTTGTTGTTTCCACCAACAGAGCGGGACGAAGATTGAAATTGAAATTGCTTTATTATCTTAAGAAGTAGGTATAACAACTACAGGGGTTGGCACTTGGCAGTCTCATTTTAAATTGAAATAAACCTGTATTAAAAAACTTCTTTTTGAAAGGTGTTTTCGTCCTCGCTCTGTGCAGAGCGATATACGATTGCTTAATATGGAAACGCCATTGTTAGATTGTCATGTGCTGGAAAAGCTTATTATGTTACTCAGCTTTTCTATTTTATCTTTTAAGTGCGGTTGACACCAGCTTCAATTAAACATCTATCAGTTTCATTTTATATGTATTTCCCCTCCAGGCGGAGGCCCGCAACGCTCAGCGGCTTCGCGAGCAGCAATCAAACGGGAACACAGTTGGGACCGCCAGCAAGGCTCGCTGGCGGCAAGCGATGCAGCCGGGCGACGCGCTGGTCACGCGCCACAGCAACCTGGCCGATGTCCACGTCGTCTTCCATCTGCTGGCTGATGATGCGCCGCTGAGGACCGGTCAGTGGCGATACGCTTTATCTCAGATTAGCTGTGCCCGCGACTTCGTACGCGTGAAAACCTGTTTTCGCAACATTTTTCATTATTGCTCTGCTCCTATTGTACGTAGGGAGATGTTGTATAGCCTATAGCCTTCCTCGATAAATGGGCTGTCTAACACTGAAAAAATTTTTCAAATCGGACCAGTAGTTCCGGAGATTAGCACGTTCAAGTAAACAAACAAACTCTTCAGCTTTATAATATTAGCATAGATTAGTATTATTAGTATAGATGATGTAGCCCATTTACACACGCCCCAAATACATCTTGCCCTACCACCACTTCGAGATAACATCGACTGGTGCTGAAAAGAAGTGGCGGAAGAAACTCAGTCACCTTATATTTGTCAGAAATCCGACGAAAGGTGAAGCAAAAAGGTTTTTCTGAGATGCTAGAGATGTGACTACGCCCACCAGCTCGTTGGACCGTCAACCTTGTCAAAGACAGGATTTAACGCCATCTATTGAGGATATACGAAACGTAATGTAATTTTAGTTACTAAACATTCCGCTAGGAGGCGCTCCAAAGGAAGAACCGAATCGACTGGTAGCAGATAGAACAACTAACATCCAGCAACGAACTGAAGATTTATCTTTCCCCTAGTGTCCGACCGAATGTTCGGTTTCGGTTTCGTTTTCGGTTGAGTTTCGGTAAAAACACGAGTTTCGGTTTAGTTTCGTTTTCGGCGGCAAACTTGCCGAAACTACGACCGAAACCGAATGTGCATTCGGGAGTTTCCGCGCTGTTATCGGTCATGTTTGGCGCGTTGAATGAGTGAATGAATCCGAGCCGATCAGAGCCAATGTCGTGATTCGCTCGCTTGTTTATTTGCTGTTAGTTTTGTTTTGTTGTGGTGGCGAGTTTTCGAGTGATTTATTTTGAATTTTATCTCGTTTTATGTCGTTATAACATAAGAGCGGGTAGTAAACATAAAAAATATATTCAATATGACTGATAAAAGTATAATCAAGTTTAATCTAACCTATAATTTTTTATTTTGGTTCGCAAATGCTATACGTAAACAAACATTACTTAGGTATAATGACTATAGTGCATTTCATGGTGATAATATTATGGATTCAGAATTTCAAAGTTAATTTTAGTATTTATCACCAAGGTATCCAAGTGGCAAGTAGAGTAGGTAGATACTAACCTACGTACTACCAATTTTGTTTTGAGAAATTATTAAGGTAAAAGACCCGACCATGGGACGGGTTATGTAGATTGTAGATGTCCTGAATATTGCGAGTAATTAAAAAAAATCTAGACTATAAATCCTTCTTTTTCTTTTTTAATACATAATTTGATACCTTTTAGAGTAAAAAGGCGCTTTATAAGTTCAATTTTAATGCAATTTAAGGAGAAAACAATAAAGACTGACTAATTAATAACGTTTCCTTTATTTTTCCCTCAAAATATGAGCCTTGTAAGGAAGTTTCGGTTTCGGTTTCGGCCGAAATAGACACCGTTGCCGAAATTCCTTTTCGGTTTCGGTTTCGGTCGTAAAATTAGTTTCGGTCGGACACTACTTTCCCCGCTTGCCTTTAAAGACCCTGGTTTCGTCGACTTCTTTTTTCTGTCCTATTAATAAAAGCTTCTTTAGAACCCCCGCAGACTAAACTTTTTGTCAGACCACCAGTATGAACTTGTATGAAAATGCGTACATTTATTTATTGATTTTAATTACACAGGTTTTAGAATTCTTTTTTTATTCTTCTTTCCTTGAAATGAACCGGTTATTTGAATGTTTGTCAGGCGACATCACGTCGCGGCACCCGGCCATCCTGGGGCTGCGGAACATCCTGAAGGCGGCCTGCTGCAACGACGTCACCAGCATCTCCATCCCGCTGCTGCTCAGGAACGACTTGTCAGAGGTTTGTTGTTTCTGTATTATAATACAGGGTGTCTTGAAGGTAGCACGCCAGACTAACACTGGAGATAGCTCAGCAGGCCTTATAATAAACTACCTAGTAGATAAATGTACCTCTATGTCAATCCGGCGCACTACTTTCGGGACATCCTGTATATGTATTATCTTGTTGAAGACTTGCTTTTTATCTATCTATATAGACTCCTTATTATCCAAACTGATAATAGAATAATAGAATCTAAAAGTTGTGTCATATTTTCAAAGAGGCATACAAGAATTGAAGAATAATTTTCCCAGTTTAGTCGGCGCCTGATCATCCTAAAAATAAAAATTAATTCTTGTTCCGAATAGCAAAATAAGCCGTTTTGCCAAACATCTGCATAGATGTACGGGTTCCGTATGCATTATAATGAAATAATGTGAGTGAAGACTACCTTTACGCCCTGCTTTAAACTTTACAGCAGGCTTTATCAAACAGGACATCTCAATACCAAATTACTATCTTACACAGGAAACAACAGCAGCATGGTGCCTCCGCCGCGCAGAACTAGTTCTAAAATGCGTGAAAGGATTCGTGCTTGAAGCAGCCGGCTGGGGCGGCGCGGAGCCTCGAACCTTACACTTCTGTGCGCCGCCCGCCACCGCGCCTGAACTATTCCACGCGCTCGCAAACCTACTGCCGACGATATTCCGCATCTCCAACCCGGTTAAAGTCAAGCCGCCGGCGTCATGATTGATGGACAGATAGGACGAGAATGTAAACAGCTAAACGGGCTAGGATGCGCGCCACGATATAATTAATCGTGTAAGATCGACAAAATGCCTCTATAGTCTGGTCTGTGAGCACGTAGAATTTTGTCCAATGACCCCAAGCTACCCATCCTTATCGCTCGCGCGTAATTATATTGCTGTCGCGACTGTGCGACGGGCGGCCGCAGTGAGTGTGCGAGCGATAAGGATGGGTAGCTTGGGGTCATTGGACAAAATTCTACGTGCTCACAGACCGGGCTTTATAAGATTATGAGAGACGCCACACGGACATTGTCAGTCCGTCAGACTTTTATATGTAGAACTGCGGAGCGGCACCGCAACGCAACGTGTGGCATCTTTCTTACAACCCGATGGGGCTAACTGCGCAACTCACTGGATTGCGACTCTGCCTCGCACATAGGCTGGTTTTAGTGTCACGCGGACCGTCCGGTGTGGACCCGCTCCGCACGGCCAATCTGTATGAACTTCTAGGGAGCGTTTTAGAGTAATGCGTTCCGGAGGAACCGCTCCGCTCCCTAGCAGTTCATACAGATCGGCTGTGCGGAGCGATCCGCACTGACAGTCCGCGTGACACTAAAACCAGCCTTACCCGCGTTCGCCCCGTCCTTACCAGAGCGTCGACGTGACGTCACGGTAACCAGGTGCGCAGTTAACTGAACCGGGTTATAATCGTTGCACCCATCCAATCGTAGCCCTGTAGATGTCGCTTGATCAGGCTGTCCTGATGTCTCTTCACATCACATCAGGCGCCGTGCCGCACTGAAGATATGTGTCCACGCCCTAAGGAGCGTGCGAAAAGAATTTCCCATTTCGTTGGGTAACATTCCCTCGTATTAAAAATCAATGTTATTTTGTATCTCACAATTTATTATATTTATTTATTAACAATATTTATTTAATTGCAATTCCAGAACTTTTCTACAAATATCAATATGAAACCTGTCAACTCTTCTAAGGTAATCTAAATAAAAACTTTGTTCCCGTTGCATGTCTATAATGCTCAACACTTCAAAAGGCATCACATTTCACAAAAATAGGACCTTATTCGCAGTGTTTTGCTGAAAGAAACATTAAACTCAACAGTTCCAATCGGTGTTGAAGCAATTTTAAACTTTATCGACTTGTGATTGAGTCGAGATCACGTTATATGTCTGTTTCTTTCTGAATTAGTCATTCTTGCCAGGAAACCACTGCGAATAATTCCTGATGCGATCGAGTGCGTCACGAGCACCGTTGTATCATCACTACATACTAAGAAATGTCTATTTTCAACTAAAATATCCAAAATACTAAAACAAATAATGTCCGTTTAAAAAACCAGAAAAAGTGTGCATTGATATTGTGCTTCGTTATAAAATAGTACCACTATTAGCGCAATAGCACGCAGACCAAGAATCTATATTATCACAAAAAAAATCAGAACCTAATTTGGCATATTAAAAGCAATACAAAGCGATTAAAATAAAAATAAACCCATGATATTACGAATCACACAGATTGAACACTAAAATATCAACTAAAACCCTACATAATATTTTAGGCGTCTAAAATAAAATCAAACTTATTTTTTGGGTTCTTAAAATTAACTGTCTAAAACCAAACTTAAGTTTCAACTGTTGAGATAGCCGTTATTTATTGCTGTCTAGAGACGAGACTCCAACAACATCAAATGTAAACTCAACATTGCGAGTACTCAGTAACAATATCAAACACCCAGCAAGTGTGTGTTACCAACTATTTAAAAACTTCATCTATTTCATAATACAGTTTAAATGTACTTTTCAAGTCTTCTACATAACATGTACTATATTTAATTCGGTATGTTGAAAACCTTTCTCATATACAACATTAATATCCATTAACATCAAAGATTACAACAGTTGATTGCTATTTAACTTCAACATCGCAAAATATTGTTTTATTGTCATGTACGACAAGTTACATAAGTAGTAAAGAAATGTCCTATTAAAATATCTACTGTCCCGTATACAGTTTGTTTGAGCTTCAGTGCGTCGTTCGACGACGGACGCTATCCTGAGGATCGTTTTAGATGTTAAATTAGACTAAGTAAACGTTAATTATCATAAATATGTACTCTTACGGCGTTTTATAAATGCACCTGAAACAATACATAAACATTGTAAATATACAAAATATAAGCGTCTATAAGTTAAACAAGCAAACGTACGTTGTAGATAACTGCGAATGCAATTTGCGCAGGAGAAGAGAAAACTAATGAATGAATATTATGTTACTACGAAAAATATATTTTAAACTTAGTCCCCCTTTTTACTAAAAGTTAGACTCTGGCTTAAATTGACATTTAGTATGGAAATGTAGGAAGGATCCCAAGGATTTCCACAAAGACCGGTTCTGCGCCGCTCGCATCCAGGCACCTCCCGTGACCTTCACCAGATCGTCGGTCCACCTAATGGGAGACCTGGCCACGCTAAGTCTTCCGGCTCGTGGTCGCCACTCAAGAACTTTCCTGCCCCAGCGGCCATTTAACGTAGGTATACAATATTGAACTGTTTTGTTTAAAAACTTACGTTTTAAATTATAGTTTTGTACTTGATTTTCTATGTCAGTTGTATTATCTCCTACGTGAGCGGCCCGTTGCTTTTGTTGTCTCTGAAATAAAAGTAAACAATGTATTTAGTAAATGCAGGACATGAAGAAATGAGGACTCTGTGAGAACGCAAGGTTAAGGTGTGCCATGACCTTTATAGAACCGGCTACCGACCAGAGTCAAACTGAAAACCGAAAATAGATTCAAGGCTGACTTCTTCTTTTCGTGTCGACAACAAATCTACAGTGTCAGCCCAAAAAGGCTGACCGAATTAGTGTAAATATTGAAAATGGCAGTAATGTAGCACACTTTAAATCTGTTAAATTATATTCAAAGGGTAACAAACTACTTCTTATGTCTTTAAGCCTTTATAATTATGGACTGAACCCTTCTACAGGATTTGAAATTCGCTTACCTTCTTGCGGACGGGCGGCGCGGCGCGTGCGCTTCTCCGGGGATGCTTCTGAAATTAAATCAAGTTATATTCATCTTTAAATGAATCTAAGACTGACTGTTTTAAAATCTACATTATTGATGAAATAGTGCAAAATGTAACTTACGTTTTGCAGGCGATGATTCAGTCTTCTTTTTCCGAGTGTTGGTTTTTGTTTCATTTTGTTTGGCAGTTGCCTGCAAACAATAATAATTTTCATATAGCGCCACAAAATCTAAAGAAAAATCTCAGCAGATTTATGAGTCAGTCAATATAAAATATGTCACTTAAATTAAAAGAAGGTGGTGCAACTCAGCATAAGTATTCACAAATGCAGTCGGAGGCATCAAATACATTTCACCAACAAAAGAATTAGTCATCGATGCCTCCGACTGCATTTGTGAACACTTATTGTCTTAAGTTTATCTTTTTAGTTAATTATTTTTCCATAGTAATACATAGGTGGACCGACGATCTGGTGAAGGTCGCAGGAGGAACCTGGACGCGGGCAGCCGGTTGTTATGGAAATGCTTGGGGGAGGCCTTCGTCCAGCGTCATTTGGATGAAACGAGCGAACGAATAATCTATACTAATATTATAAAGCTGAAGAGTTTGTTTGTTTACTTGAACGCGCTAATCTAAGGAACTACTGGTCCGATTTGAAAAATTCTTTCAGTGTTTAGATAGCCCATTTATCGAGGAAGGCTATAGGCTATACAACATCACGCTACGATCAATAGGAGCAGAGCAAAAATGAAAAATGTTGCGAAAACGGGTTTTCACGCGTGCGAAGTCGCGGGCACAGCTAAAGCCTGGTCCGTAAGCACGTAGAATTTTGTCCAATGACCCCAAGCTACCCATCCTTGTCGCTCGCACGTAATTATGTTGCTATCGCGCGCGCACACTCACTGCGGGCGCCCGTCGCACAGTCGCGACAGCAATATAATTACGCGCGAGCGATAAGGATGGGTAGCTTGGGGTCATTGGACAAAATTCTACGTGCTCACGGACCAGGCTTTAGTATGGAATGTATGGAATCACCATACTTGTTCCGAGCGATCGTAAGAACTAAATGACTAATAGAAGATAATTAAAAATGGTACCATTTTAAAGGTAATGTTTTACACTTTAAATTGAAACTATAAATACATACATAATCATTCAGTTCTTAAGATGGCTCGGAACCAAACACAACGGCGTGATTCCATACTTTTGCTCGTAAGCATAGTTGATAATTTGATAAACGACTTACTTTCCCGCCTCTTGCGGTCTTCGGTTTGGGGGCGCTGGTCTCCACGGCGGTCACCACGAGCTTGCGCGAGCGGACCGTCCGCACGTTTTCCACGCGGCTGCCGTCCTGGTTCTGACGCGAGCTAATAGAGACCTTGCTGTCCTTAATTACGGAGCGTTTTTGCCTGACGCTGCCCGTCTCCGCCTCGACGGTCTCGATGGTCGTCTTCCGCCCTCGCCGGGACTTCGTCTCGACGACCTCCTTGGCGCTGGTTTTGGTCACTTTGGCAGGTATGACGTTCTCCGCGGTGGTTTTGCGCTTCCGAGACGCGACTTCGGGTATGACGGTGGCGTTTTCGCTGACTTTTCCCCGCCGGGTCCTTGTCGTGGGCTCCGATTGGACGCTCTCCTGGGCCTCGAGCTTCCTGCCGCGGGATCGAATCGGTTTCGGCGACTCCCTCGCGACAGTCTTCTTTGATTCATCCTGAGTCTTACGAGTTCTCTTTGGTTCAGGCTTTTCTTCTACGACTTGAGTTTTTCGCCCCTTTCTCTCCTTCTTTTCCGGCCCGGGATTTTTATCAGATTCGCTGACGGCTTTGCTCCTCTTGCTCTTAGGTTCATTTTCGGCCGCCCGGCGCGTCCTGGCCGGCTGCGGTGATTTTTTGGGAGATTCCACTTTCCTGCGTCTCGATTTGATTTCGACTTGTTCGACACTTTTTTCGTTAGCCGCAATTTTGCGTGACTTTCGCGGACTATTGACTTCATCTTGGGTTTTCGCAGCCCGACTGGCGACTTTCCGTTTCGTTTTAGGCGACTCGCTCACGGTTACTTTCGCTTCGCTTTTGGATTTCGCTTGCGGCTTCATCTTAGGCGAGGGTTTGCCCACGACAACCGAAGCTTTTTGCACTTTAGCTCGGGTGGGTCGTTTAGGTGTCGCCGGTTTGTCTTCCTGCTTGCGGGTGCCTCTCTTCTTCGGGCTTGGTTTGGGCGGGGACGACGTGCGGGTCGCTTCGCCTCTCTTCTTGGGGCTAGATTTAACCGGAGACTGGGGTTGGTTCGCTTTGCCTCTGGTTTTCTTCGGGCTAGGCTTGACCGGGGACGGCGGCTGGGCCGCTCTGCCTCGAGTCTGCTTCGGCTGGGGTTTGAGCGGCGAATCTGGCTGCGGTTCGGCTTTTGCTCTTTTCGTCCTGGGCGCGGGTTTAGGGCTCATGACGGGCGACTTCTTGGAGATAACTAGAGATGTTCGTCGTTTCTTGGTTTGAGTTTGCGAGCGGTCGGCCTTGACGCCGCGAGCTCGCGTTGCGCGAGGCTCAGGAGCTTGCCTTGGCGAAGATTTCGAAGCGTTGGCTTTGGGCGGGGACTTCGCAGCCTGTTTGGGTGCTTCGATTTCAACGGCAGCCTTAGTGGTTCGCTTGGCTTTAGTCGGTTTCGGCTCCGGCATTGCCAACGTTGATTCAGATCTGAAAATATAAATGTTTTCATTATAACTCCGTATTCACTAAAAAGAATAGGATACGTAGGCGGTACTACAGATATTTTCTAAGAGTTTTCAAAATGGTGACTTTTCGATTGGTCCATCTCAGGAACCCATGGTGTCCCTAGAAAACTAACTTGACATTCAAGACTACAATGAAGTGTCTTAAAAGAAAACATTTTTTAATCATTCTACCTAAAACAATTTTTTAGATAGAAATGAAGTAGAAAAGTATGACGCCCGTATTCACAAACGATGCTTGCTTAAGTGAAAAAGCAAATCAAACGCACAGCGTTGAATAGAGCTGTGATTGGTTCGTGTGTCACCCTGCATGCGTAACTGCCTAGCTCGCATAAATATTTATAACTATGTATTTTGAAAACCTGTAAACCTTTGAAAAAGAGGCTGACAATAGTGTCTGAGTTTCTTGCGCTGCTTCTTCTCAGCACTGGCCCATTTATTGTCCTGAAGCAGTGGTAGGGTTAATACTGGGATGTGTAAAAGTGCTTTTTTAAAGCCTACTTACAGAAATAAATGAGTTTTACTGAGTTTTTTACTGTGCGTCCACGCGCACTGTGAAACTTCATAGTAATGTTTGTGAATATGGGCGTGAGTATATTACCTCACTTACACTTATATGAGTATATTACGCAGGCCGCTACCAACTGGGCAACATGGAAAGCATTGGGGGAGGTCTATGTTCAGCAGTGGACGTCCTATGGCTGAGATGATGATGATGATGATCGTCGGCCGTTTGGTGTAGTGGTTCGAAACGGACTACTATTCCAGAGGTTGTGGGTTCGATTCCCGCAAACAAATGTTTGTACTGTTTGGACTTGGTGTTTTCTATGTATAATATGTATGTATTTACAAAAAAAAAGTATTTAAGTATGTTTATATCCGTTGTCTAGTACCCATAGTAGAAGCTTTGCTCAGTTTGGGACTAGAGGCGCAGTGTAAAGTGTCTAAGGATATTTATTTATTTATATTTAACTAGCTGACCCGGCGAACTTTGTTCCGCCTTAATGGTAATAAATAAGCAGACTTTTTTTTATTTCGAACGGGATAAAAAGTATCATATGTCCTTCTCCTGGCTCTAAACTACCTCCCTGACAATTTTCAGCTAAATCGGTTCAGCCGTTCTTGAGTTATAAGTGGTGTAACTAACACGACTTTCTTTTATATATACAGGGTGTTTGGTAAATGGGTATATGAGCCGACACTAGCCCATGTTAACATGGGCATATAAATGGTATGGTGAAGTCAGAAAATTGATATCTTCATTTTAATTATTTTAATTTTCATACATCGGATTTTATAAAATTTATTTTGTATGAAAATTTAAAAAAATAAAATGATGATATCAATTTTCTGACTTCACTTCACCATACCATTTATATGCCCATGTTAACATGGGCTAGTGTCGGCTCATATACCCATTTACCTAACACCCTGTATATATAAAAGAAAGTCGTGTTAGTTACACCACTTATAACTCAAGAACGGCTGAACCGATTTAGCTGAAAATTGTCAGGGAGGTAGTTTAGAGCCAGGAGAAGGACATATGATACTTTTTATCCCGTTCGAAATAAAAAAAAGTCTGCTTATTTATTACCATTAAGGCGGAACAAAGTTCGCCGGGTCAGCTAGTTAAATATAAATAAATAAATATCCTTAGACACTTTACACTGCGCCTCTAGTCCCAAACTGAGCAAAGCTTCTACTATGGGTACTAGACAACGGATATAAACATACTTAAATACTTTTTTTTTGTAAATACATACATATTATACATAGAAAACACCAAGTCCAAACAGTACAAACATTTGTTTGCGGGAATCGAACCCACAACCTCTGGAATAGTAGTCCGTTTCGAACCACTACACCAAACGGCCGACGATCATCATCATCATCATCTCAGCCATAGGACGTCCACTGCTGAACATAGACCTCCCCCAATGCTTTCCATGTTGCCCAGTTGGTAGCGGCCTGCGTAATATACTCATATAAGTGTAAGTGAGGTAATATACTCACGCCCATATTCACAAACATTACTATGAAGTTTCACAGTGCGCGTGGACGCACAGTAAAAAACTCAGTAAAACTCATTTATTTCTGTAAGTAGGCTTTAAAAAAGCACTTTTACACATCCCAGTATTAACCCTACCACTGCTTCAGGACAATAAATGGGCCAGTGCTGAGAAGAAGCAGCGCAAGAAACTCAGACACTATTGTCAGCCTCTTTTTCAAAGGTTTACAGGTTTTCAAAATACATAGTTATAAATATTTATGCGAGCTAGGCAGTTACGCATGCAGGGTGACACACGAACCAATCACAGCTCTATTCAACGCTGTGCGTTTGATTTGCTTTTTCACTTAAGCAAGCATCGTTTGTGAATACGGGCGTCATACTTTTCTACTTCATTTCTATCTAAAAAATTGTTTTAGGTAGAATGATTAAAAAATGTTTTCTTTTAAGACACTTCATTGTAGTCTTGAATGTCAAGTTAGTTTTCTAGGGACACCATGGGTTCCTGAGATGGACCAATCGAAAAGTCACCATTTTGAAAACTCTTAGAAAATATCTGTAGTACCGCCTACGTATCCTATTCTTTTTAGTGAATACGGAGTTATAATGAAAACATTTATATTTTCAGATNCGGCCGCGCAGCCGTAGGGTTGTCAAAATCTCCGTGCTCGGTGCTAGGGCTGTCGATACGTCGCGGGGCGCGTCACAGTCTTACCCGTGACATTGACAGCGGGGCGCCATCGTCAATACCCCGCCCCCCTGTCAATGAGTTTGTTGGGACAATTCAGTTTAGGCATCTCTATGATTCGTGGATTAACCATAACAGTCCAACGAACGACGGAATTCTAATCAGCGTTCTTCGTATCTCGAATAGGCCGGTCTGGCTCCGATCTTGTGACCTGTCACCTTTTTGAACAAATAAACAGCACTTACCGAGACTTCGGCCCGCGCCACGGTACTAGTGCGGACGCGCGAGGTCCGCAACGGTTCAGCGCCTTCCACTGTCGCTGTACTCAGCTTCTGAAGCTCTTTAGAAAGAAAGAAAGAAAAAATATTTATTTGACAACTAAAAAGCACAAAAACAATGAGGCGGAGAAAAAAAAAATGTTGCCAACGAGGTCACCCACTCAGTATTATCTTGACAGTTGACATTTTACTGCCCAGTGCCAAGACACTGGTTTTCAGTGGGTGCCTTGTACGCAGGGGCAAAAAAATATAATAAAATAAAATAAATTAAAATTCATATTAAAATAAAAATTTACCTTTAGACACCGCCTTGGGCACGTCGTCCTTGTGCAGACGTTTCTGCAGCTCGCGCTCCAGCCAATCCTCCACGTTATTGGTGATGACGTCGATCGACGCGTGCAAAGACTTCGCGGCGCGCGCCCTGGTCTTAGGTGCCGTAGTCTTCTTTGCAAAGCTCTTCGAGTAGACTGCCTTGATCGGCGGCTTGCCCAGTAACTGATTGAACAGCCGCTCCGATTCTGGCACGGAATGACCCGATTCGTTGAAAAGTTCCTCGACTCCGCTGACGTCGTTGAGGTCGTTCCTCGCTTTTGAACCTTTGAACAACTTCTTGACGCCTCGCACGTCGGACAAATCGTTTTTGGGCGAATTTCTCCTCATAGTTTTCTTGACACCCGACACTCTGCGCAGATCGTTGCGGGGACTGCTTCTTTGGAATAGGTTCTTGACGCCTCGAACGTCGGTCAGGTCGTTCCTCGGCGATGCGCGCTCCTTCTGCGATCGGAACAGAGATTTCACTCCCGAGACGCGTCGCAAATCATTTTTGGGCCCCTCCGCGAACACTTCCTTCACTCTGACGTCGCTCAGGCGGTTTTTGGGCGATTTCGCGAATACCTGCTTCACTCCGGCGACGTCGGACAGGTCGTTCTTGATAGACCTTCTGGTTCGAGGCGTGCGTAACAGGCCTTTGACTCCTCTGACGTTTCGGAGATCATTATTCGGCGTGTTCTTGCGGAACAGTCTCTTTATTCCCGATAGATTGGGGCTCTCGGCAGGCGTGCCGATCGGGCTGACGAAGACTTCGGGCGTGATCGGCTCCGTGCGGTCCAAGATGGAGTTATCCGGCGTCCGGTTGGCCACCGCGATCGTGTTGCGCGTCGGCCTCCTGTTGACAACGACGTCATCCTCGTCATCGAACAGCTGCTTCCTCGAGAACTCCGTCATGCTTTGAGACAGCTTCCTTTTGACGGGGCTGCTGAACAGCTGCTTGACGATGTCGGACTCGTTGAGATCGTCGATGATCGAGCGCTTCGACTGCGGCTTCTTCGCGGTGGAGTGTTTGTTCTTGACGGCCTCCTGGACCAATTTGACGGCGCTCTTTGGAGTGACCATCTTTTCGTTGCTCGGCTTCGGAGCGCCCTCGTCCGTTTTGTCCGAAGCTAACGAGGAATCCTTGCTCAGTCTCAGCAGACCCCTCCTCGCCGTGAAGCTCAGGGATTTAGACTTGACCGCGGGCCGGCCGCGCGGCTGTGACCTTATGACGCCGATCGTCTTGCGCTTGGAGCCGCCTCGTCCCTTCCTGGACGAGTTCTGGGAAGCGAAGGAGCTCTGGCTCGAATCTAGCAGGCTCTGAATGCTGAGGACAGGCGTGCCGGCCTCCTCAGGGCTGTGCCTGTTTTGCGGCGTGCTGGTACCTTGATTTTCCTTCTCGCTGCCATCGGGCGTGGCGTCCCCACCGCTCCTACGGGAACTTTTCCGAGTCGGCGCGGGACTATTCTGCGGGGACTTCTGACTGACGCGCCTCGACGACAGCGGCGAGGCGTCCTCCATCTGAGAGATGTCGCTCGAAGATATCAGCATCAAATCGGTGTCGTTGATCCGCGACCGGCTCTTCGAGGCGCGCGATATTCGGGTGCTGTTGACCGAGATGTGCCTTTGAGTGTCTCGAGAATTTTCAGGAGTCGTCAGCGACTTCGACCGGCGAGCGGGGCCCGAGCTCCTCGTGGATAAGTTTGTGGAGTTTTTGATGGAACTCTTCCCTGAACCCTGCGACTTCAATGACGAGCTTCTCGTAGGTTTAACATACGGCGTGCTGGACCCGAGCAGGGTGCTGGGATCGATAGTGGACCTGGTTCGTCTACCGGTGCTGTTCTGGGGCGTCCCGAACGCGGTGGCGCTGCTGTCGATGGACCCGGCGGAATTGTACACCGACGTCGACCTTCCAGACTCGTTGGAGTCCATCGACACCAGGTCGACGATGGAGTAGGTTTCCAGGTTTTGAGCCGGGGACCGCGGAGACAACGTACGGGTGCGGAAAGCTGAGGCGACCGTCGCGTCGGCGCTACGATCGGTCAAGGTCCTGGTGGTGCGACGCGAGTAGCCGTCGTCGCTTTGGGATGCGTCCAGCGCTTTCTGGAGTATAAGAGTGCCTCGACTGGACTTCCTGCGGGGAGATTCGGGAGACACCGCGGTGAGGGTGCTCCTGCTCCTCCGCGACACATCAGTGGACGTCCCGAGGGATTTCTCCAGCATCCTGCTGCTTCGAGAGTGAATGCCTTTTCTCGGGGAAGGTGATTGAGTGCTGGAGGTGTCGGAGTAGTGTAGAGTTAGTTCGTCGTCGCTGGTGGGAGTGGGTTCGAGGTTGCTGAGGTCGAACTTGATGGAGTCGTGTTTGCGCGCGGCGCCGGGCCCCTTGAGCGCGGACTTGCGCGGCGTCGGCAGCAGCGGCGAGCCCGAGCGAGTGGTGGACTGAGTCGAGTCGCTGATCTCCAGGATCGATACCTGCGGAGAGATAGTTGTTGTAGCCTTTTATATAGCTAGATAGTTCACTAATTAAAAAAATACATTATTGAACAATCCTCGTATTTAAATTTAAAACTAGCTACTGTATCAAACGAAGACGGGAAAGGCTATTGCAAACGGAATCACCGTTTTAATATTTTCTAAAAATCCATATTGATAATTGCAACCTTCCACAATGAGAAACACTGCAGATTTTTATTTGGACTGTTTTCAACTATTTTATCAATTGGTATAGTCCGCGCCCGTAATTAGGTAACGAAATTGTCTCACTGTCACTGAGTGCAGTGATATATCTATGTATTCAAAAAAATACCTAGCCAAATTGCGCGGCAAAACATTTAACGTCATTCATTTGCGTTATTATCACATTCTACCCCGACTTTTTCGACTCCCGTAGGATAACCTTGCTAAATAATTCATTTCTGAGTAACATGCTCTTTCCAGAAATGCACAATGCACATAGCATAGACAAAGAATACTGCAACACAACAACTACAAAAATTACTCATAAAGCATTCTAACATCTTTCAGGTAGAAACTGAAATATTCCGCCAGGTACTTCTTCCACAGAAACGAAAACATATTAACACAATTCCTGTTATTTTATTTGAAAAACAACCGAGACCGTGCGACGTTACAGTGCAATTCGACTTTGCAATGACTGAAGTCGTCCGCGTGACGTGTTTTATACAAAGTCACCGCATAAAAAGGTGCAAAACAGTTACTTAGTCACTCGAACGAATGGTAATTTTGATGTAGTCTGAGGTCATTCACTAATTGCATAGCTGCTATGTGCAATACCTACTGTTATTGAAACGTTCTGCTTTGAATTACTATTAATTAATAAATATTATTAGATGATCATTATTTTATTTCAATTACAATTTAGGCCTAAGGATTTTTCATTATTTGTTACTTTCTGATAACTAAACATATAAAATTCAAGATTTATTTTAATGTTTATAATCAATTAACACGCTCGTCTCGTGAATAGGAAATGTATGATCACGAGGTTTTTGTTGCATGCATAATTAATATATTTACTCGAATAGCGTGCATCCTACGTATATTCCAACGTTAGAAATATGTGAATACGTTTATCTGGATCTGCGTTTTTTGTCAACAACTTTCATAATCTTACTATTTTTAAGCGATGACACCAGTCTGGAATTTCGTAAGTATTAACTGCACAATGTGCCTAGTGTAGTGCAGTGACAATCAACGGTGATAAAATTCTGAAGCAATTTATCTAAAACTAGCGATCGATCGAGCGATCCGCTCCGACTTAGCAAGAGTTTCTCTTGAATCACTATCTTATGCTGAAAACTGCATTAAAATCCACTGTGTAGTCCAAAAGATCTAAGCGAACGATAGCGGGGACGATTTTGTTTTATACTATGTAAAAATTAAATAAATATCTTCCTCAGGACACGCGTATAGTACGCGTACCTCTCGAATGCTACTATTTTTTTCCAACGCTGAACCGTGCCAGCTATCATAATAGGAGGGCGCTACTATCAACTGGATTATTAGTTCCGAATTTTGCCATGTTGGATAACCATTCATCACTGGGTTTTTAGTTCCGATTTTCGCCACTTGACATTTCAGAATCGTTTGACTATGTAGTGTTAGAGGCCGGTAGATCTATTGTCATAAATAAAACACTGAAGTTTCACATTAGATTGCCTCATTTTTAAATACAATTCATCACTACACGTCCCTCTATTCTGACGTTTCTATCTAGTGTGACATTGACATTACGTCAATGTCACTACGACAGCAGCTCATTGGCTATAACGATACCGTTATTTTAACGTTTTAGATTCTTCACAATGAGGGCTATCGTTTTTATACTTAACAGTTGGCACCCCTGGCGATTGAAAGAACCTTACTCTACAGTGGCGCCATCTTGATGAGTGCAAATGCGATAGTCCTCCTGCCACTTTAGCGCTTACCAGTTGGTCCCACTGTCTTCGCTACTCAATTACCTACTACTTTGTTTTTACGTAAATTAAAACGCTGGCTTGTTGGAGAGTGCTTTTATGACATGAAATAATATTTTGACTTAAATAAACAATGTAAATAAATGTGTACCTGACAAGCATGTAATATTATTATGATTTTATTAATGGACATCTTTTTAATTTTAATTTATTTAATGTGACATTTTTGTTAAGTTTTTGCATGCCGACATTCGGTAGAGCACGCATGCACTTACAAACTGCTTTATGTATAATTTGAACAAATATGTACCGTGTCTCTTACGCAAATAAAAGATTTATATTTCTATTTCTACTAGTAAGTGACAGGAACTTATTCTACAGTGGCGCTAACTGGTGAGCGCTAAAACGATAGCCCTCATTAACAAACTAAAGTAGTATAGACAATAATAAAACTGGTACTCACGGAGCCGCTAGCGGATCCTCTCTTGCTGGTCCTAGTGGGCGGGGCCTTGGGGCTTCGGCGGGGAGTGCGGGACGCGCGGGCGGCGGGGCTGCGCTTCTTGGCCACGAAGGAAGGTGTGGTCTTGGCGCGCGGGCTCGGGCCCTTGGACGTGTGTCCCGTCATCAGCATTATGGCCGCTTGCTTCGTGTGGTCTGAGGATGCGTTGGTGAGTTAGATGGTGTTCTTCGTGAATGTAGCCACGATAGCCGAACGGCGAAGGGGTCGGAGTGGCCGACTCGAGATCCGAGGAACGTGGGTTCGAATCCCACCGCCGCTCGACTATTGCGGTGAGCGCGCTCGTAACACAAGCTTATTTAGCTTAACACGAGGGGCTAATGGGACTATTAGTAAATTGGGCAATACAAATTGTTTATATATTTTTTTTAATATTTATTTAAAATGTTACGATAAGTATAGGGTAAAGTATTTTTGGAATTTATGCTAAAACTACTACCAGGCCAGTGTATGGATTGTGATATTCAAAACTTGATTCAAACTCAACCAGTGATAGTGATGCGAACGGCACCTATTATAATTTCTTGGAATATTGTTGTTAAACTCGCGCAAGGAATTACAACCCGATCAAATTATGACACACCTCGCTGGAATGCGACTCTTCCACGCACTTACCTGCGCACCTCTCCGCGTCCGTACCAGAGCGTCGATGTGACGTCACGGCTGCCAGGTGCAGTTAACTTGATCGGATTGTAATTATTTGACACATTGAAAGAGCACCTTGCTAACTGAACGACGTGTCAGATACATGCACATAACTTTGAGATTTCTTTCCTTTTTTACATAGTATAAATATTAAAACACTCAAATCAACATTAGAATACGTAATCGGCGCCAATCGTTACTTAATATGGAAAAAACACAAGGTCATCCACGAAGACGCGCCCCACTATTCTTCCGTTAATGTTTGAGTGTTATCGGTACACGCTAAATTATCCATGAGTGCACACGCACAATTCAATAATGCCGCTCGGATTGCTCGGGTAAAACTCCCCGCACCCCGCGCCTCCCTCGGTCAATAAGGCTGGTTTTAGTGTCACGCGGACTGTCAGTGCGGATCGCTCCGCACAGCCGATCTGTATGAACTGCTAGGGAGCGAGCGGTTCCTCCGGACCGCATTACTCTAAAACGCTCCCTAGAAGTTCATACAGATTAGCCGTGCGAAGCGGGTTCGCACCGGACGGTCCGCGTGACACTAAAACCAGCCTAAGGCCCTTTTCACACGTCCCGGTTGCCGGGTATCCGGTGGTGAAGTGTATGGGCATGGTACGTAGCTTTCACATGTTCCTGCGTAATTAATCCGGCATGCCCATAATAATCGGTTAGCCGGCAACCGGGACGTGTGAAAAGGGCCTAAGTGGTGGGGCGCGTCTACGTGGATGAAACGATCTACTATACGTACCAATCTGCGTGGGCGCCTGTATCTTGGTGACTTGTCGCTTGTGCGCGCTCTGTGCTTGCCGCAGCACGGTCAGTCGCAGCGGAGTATGTTTCTTGCTCGGCAGGCTCCGCCGCGCCGCGCCGCCCTGCGGAGTGAACCAATAATGAGTATGGACATTTATTAGGATAGGTAAAGCCCGGTCTATGAACACGTAGAATTTTGTTCAATGACCCCTAGCTACCCATTACGAGAATGTGCGAGCGCGATAGCAACATAATTACGCGCGAGCGATAAGGATAGGTAGCTAGGGGTCATTGGACAAAATTCTACGTGCTCACGGACCGGGCTTTAGAAACAGAAAAACTTTACTTTTTTATAAATTTTAAATCTTTACTGACACAGTAAGTAGGTACTGCTGTTAGAGGCCGGTAGATCTATTCTCATAAATAAAACACTGGATACTTTCACATTATATTGCCTCATTGGCTATAACGATACCGTTATTTTAACGTTTTAGATTTTCCACATTTAACAGTACATATAAAAACAATTACTGAGCCATTGCGACAATAGGCTCCCCCGCTGACAAGAGCATGTCAATCTTGCGTAGTCGGACTTGTGCACCTAAATGTGCACGTACTATTCACTGGCTCACTGTCACAGTGCGAAATATTCTTTCATACAGTTTCTATGAACACATTCCCACTCGTCAGTATCAGTGACGACACAGTGCTCTCAGTGTCAGTGCCGACACCGGCAATCACGGACGTATTCGTTGACGACGATATTTTTTGTTGGATCACGGACGCCTCCGCGGCATCAAAAACAAAATAACTTAATTCATAGTTTCTGAACAAGAATATTGAAACAGCTCTCAGACATTTTAAAATATTCAAAATATTTCACTGACACACTGATACTGAACTGAGCGAACACTTTGACGGAACTGTGGCTTCACTGATATGTGTGAATCGAGCTTAACCCGTCTAATTTGAATAAAGATGAAATGTTCCACTGACCGTGGGCGCGGGCAGAGACTTGGCGGCGCGTCGCGGGCTGGTCTTCCGCGACGCGATCCACATCTCGGCCTGCGTCATGCCGCGCGCCGCCCGACGCTGCGGAGTGTCGTCGGCGTCGTAGGCTTCGGTCGCTGTCATGCGAGCGCGCTTTGCTTGTGGCGACGATCTTGCGGTTTGGTCTGCGGATAAGTGGGCATATTTTTAAATTGGAACAACTTATATCAGTTTAAAACCGGTTTGAAATGGTCGCGTCATGTGTGGTCTCTCAACGGAACCTATGGCAGAAACTTAGATTCAACTCAAAAGTAACTAGAAGTTGCAGTTTCGTTGCAATTGCGTTTCACCGTGTGTTCTAGGCCTTAGTATTTTGTTGGCTAGAAATGTCCCGCGACAATGGACGTTTTTACTCGACAATAAGGATACCTAATACATACATTGACCTGCAAAATTAAGTATCACAGTTTGATAGTCAGTGTAGATAAGCAAATTATTGATACACAATATTGACTTACCAATTTGTTCAGTGGTGTCTCTCCTCTGTGGCTGCACGATTGCAACTTGCTTCCCGCCGGCGTTACCTGTGGGGATATCATTTGGTATTAATTAATGATGCTACCCGTACAAAGGCAGGGCGGATTACTAGTTTGCTAGTGTAATATACAGCACAGACTATTTACAAATTTGTAATATTTACTTTTAGTTCACTCGGATGCCAATAGATG